CTGGAATGCTATGAGGATTACAGAAGGAGGGGGTCAGACTGCACCTTGGCCAAAGGCCTGGTGGAACAGCTCTGTCTTGCAGGCCCTGTGGAAAGATGTCAAGTCCTACAGGGCCCCCTAGTCTCTTGTGACAGAGCGTTCCACCAGATCGGGGCCACGGCCAAAAAAGCCCCGGCTCTGGAAGGATGTCCATGAGGGTCTGTGGCCCTTTGGTTCCCCATTCTTACTTTATCAGATTTTTTCAGCCCTACACAGGTGAGACAGGAATGATATGGGCTGCTGCATCCTTAGGAAAATGCTGTAATCCTGGCAATGCCATGCGCACCGACGGCAATTTTCATAGGGGGCCCTCAAACCATAGCTGTCAACTTACAGATTTGAAAATAAGGGACTAGCAGCCTTGAAAATAAGGGACCAGCAGCCAAAATAAGGGATTTTAGTCAACCAGCTGAAATACGAAGTTAAAAGGGACCAGATAATTTTGGAGAGCAGTGCCGGTTTTTAGCCCTTCATTTCCAGAGGTTGCTGCTCAAGACACCAGCCGATGAAACACTGCAATTAAATAACTACAAGCAGCAACCACTTTTCACGCAAAACGAAGTCCAAGCTACGAAGATGCTGCTGCAGTTCTGTATCTTTTCTCTCGTGCTCCATCTGCACCTCTCAGTTCCATCAGGCGGGGCGGGAGGAAGGGGGGGGGGAAATAGCGCCTGAAGTAAACCCGCAGATCAGACCATCTATGCTAGTCTACCACTACAAATCTATGGGAGAAGCGCTTGTGGTCCTTCCCTTGTAGCCCTTGGAACACCTGCCCACGCCTCCGCCTCCTCTTCCTCTTCCTCCTCTCTCTGAATTGCTTTCTCTATGGTTGCCCTCGCTCTCCTCTCAAGGCTCCTCAGCAATTCATAGGCCATGCCAGGCTGCCCATCTCATCCGGGTCCTTTAGCGGCGCAGCCGCAGTACGGCCTAGAGGGAGCGGCAGCGATGGGCAGAGGGGAGGCCCCAGGCAGAGATGCTCAGTTCAGCGGCCGCAAGGAGGATGGCGGCAGAAGGGCCCGAGGCTCCCGCCAGTCCTGGTGGGGAGGGGCTCCCAGGGGCTGAGGCTGGTGAGAAGAGGCCGGAGGGGGGCAGGCTGGGCAGCCAAACAACACAGTTGGAGCCTCCCTCCTCCCTGGCCTGCTTCCTTTGAAACCCGGGAAATTTAAAGGACATCCATCAATAAGGGACAGCAGCAGGACATGGCGTTGGGATAAGGGACTGTCCCTCCAAATAAGGGACGCTTGACAGCTATGCCTCAAACCCCTAGTCAACCTTAGTATCAGCCCCCTGGTATTATCCATACACAACACAAGGATAACTTGCCTTCTAGAGTGCAAAAACTTCAGGATATACCCACAGAAGGAGAGCAAATAAGCTTTGCTTCAATACCTAAAGCAAAAAGCTCCAACCAAAGATGTTCTGTGCTAGCAACCATAGAAGAAGAATGCATAAAGTCTGTTGAAAATGTATAATTTGCTCTTGGAGTGGCATACAAAAGATGAACAGCTTAAATCTGTAATGATACAATGGGCAAAAGACTTGGGAAATAATATAGAAATGGCAGATTGAGAGAGGCTATGGAAAACAGCACCGGAATTCACAGCATGTTGTCCACTGAAAGAAAATTACATGAAAATGATGTGTAGGTGGTATCTGACACCTGACAAGTTAGCAAAAATGTACAGAACAAGTTCAAATATTTGCTGGAAATATAAAGAAAAAGAAAGGTACATTTTAACATAAAGTAACTAAATAATAACGAGTTTGACCAAACTGACAAATAATGAGTTTGACCAGCATGAGTTTGACCAAACTGCGGGAGGCAGTGGAAGACAGAAGTGCCTGGCGTGCTCTGGTCCAGGGGGTCACGAAGAGTTGGACACAACTAAATGACTAAACAACAACAACAACTAAAGTAAAGTAAACTAAAGTACCGGTAACTCAAAATTTCTGAGAGATGGTATATAATAAAATGAAAAAAATGTTTAAAATAACTTTTGTTAATTTTGGATAAAATGGATTGCTTCAAGAAGTGGCAGAGAGATATTTCTAGATTTGTCTGGCAGGGCAAGAAGCCTAGAATAAAATTTAAAATACTAACGGACGCAAAGGAAAGAGGTGGATTTGCCCTGCCAGACCTTAAACTTTATTATGAATCAGCAGCTTTTTGCTGGCTGAAAGAATGGCTGCTTCTTGAAAACACAGACATTTTGGACTTAGAAGGTTTTAATAATGTATTTGGATGGCATGCATATTTGTGGTATGATAAGGTCAAAGCACATAAAGCATTTAAAAATCATATTGTCAGGAAAGCATTGTTTAATGTCTGGATAAGATATAAGGACCTACTTGAAAATAAAACCCCAAGGTGGCTGTCACCGATGGAAGCGAAAGCTCAGAAAAAGCTCAATATGGAGGCCAAATGGCCGAAATATTGGGAAATTCTGGAACAAGAGGGAGATAGATTGAAACTGCAGAGTTTTGAGAAACTAAAAAAAAAGTGCGAGATTGGCTTCATTATTATCAGATAATGGAGGCATACAATTTGGACAAGAAAATTGGCTTCCAGGTGGAAAAATCAAAATTAGAAACAGAACTGTTAGAACCCAAAACTAAGATTTTGTCAAAGATGTATAACTTGCTGTTGAAATGGAATACTCAGGATGAAATGGTGAAATCTGCTATGATTAAATGGGCACAAGATGTTGGACATAACATAATGATGGCTGACTGGGAACAGTTATGGACCACAGGTATGAAGTTTACGGCATGTAATGCCTTAAGAGAGAATATTATGAAAATGATATACAGGTGGTACATGACACCAGTCAAGCTTGCAAAAATCTATCACTTGCCCGATAACAAATGTTGGAAATGTAAAGAAACTGAAGGTACATTCTTTCACCTTTGGTGGACATGCCCAAGGATTAAGGCTTTCTGGGAGATGATCTATAACGAAATGAAAAAGGTATATAAATATACCTTCCTGAAGAACCAGAGGCCTTTCTCCTGGGCATGGTCGGCCAATTGGTGCTAAAGAAGGACAGAACTTTCTTTATGTATGCCACAACAGCAGCAAGAATACTTATTGCAAAGTATTGGAAGACACAAGATTTACCCACCCTGGAAGAATGGCAGATGAATGTGATGGACTATATGGAACTGGCGGAAATGACTGGCAGAATCCGAGACCAGGGAGAAGAGTCGGTGGAAGAAGATTGGAAGAAATTTACAGACTATTTACAGAAATATTGCAAAATTAATGAATGCTAGAATGATGTCAGAATGAAGTTAAGTGGTTTTAGCAGCAATGTTATAAAGCCGTATGTAAAAATGGATTGTTAACAGGTGAGAATCCAAAGTTATAATATATTAAGTTAAAGGATTAAGACAAAAACAAAGAGGGAAAGGAATTGCTGAATTAACTAATTGAACTGGAATACAAAATGGGAGGTGTGAGGAGGTCAGGGAAGCAAGGAAATGAAATGTAAGGCATGGAAAGATGGATTTGTTTTTAAGTGTCTTTTATTTTTATTTTTTTTCTTCTGTATTTTGTATTTTTTCCTCTTCTTTATTTCTTTCTTTTTTTCTTTTCTTCTTATCTATGTAACCTTTTTTTTTGAAACCTTAATAAATATAATTAAAAATAATAATAATAATAAAATAACTTGTTAAAAAACCAGAAGCTTCTTTTACTAGGAATTATAGGTACCAAGCTACCAAAGGACCATAAATGATTGCTTATGTATGCGACAAGACCTGCACAGCTGCTACTAGCCCAGAGATGGAAGGAAGAAACTACCCCATCCAGAGAAGAATGGCAAACCAAGTTGATGGACTATGCCGAAATGGCAAAATTAACTGGGAAGCTCAGAAATCAAGAAGACAAGAACTTGAATAAGGAACGGGGAAAGTTTACAATTTGTTTACGAGACCACTGTAAGAAGGTTAAAACATTAGCAGGATTTTAACCACACTTCTAAAGTAATGAAAAGTATGGATAATTTAGAAGGATTAAAAATTTGGATAAATATTGATAAGGTAAAGGGACCCCTGACCATTAGGTCCAGTTGTGGCCGACTCTGGGGTTGCAGCGCTCATCTCACTTTACTGGCCGAGGGAGCCAGCGTACAGCTTCCGGTTCATGCGGCCAGCATGACTAAGCCGCTTCTGGCACAGAAACGCCGTTTACCTTCCCACTGGAGTGGTACTTATTTATCTACTTGCACTTTGGCGTGCTTTCAAACTGCTAGGTGGGCAGGAGCTGGGACTGAGCAACGGGAGCTCACCCCATCACGGGGATTCGAACCGCCAACCTTCTGATCGGCAAGTCCTAGGCTCTGTGGTTTAACCCACAGCGCCACCCACGTCCCTTTTTAATGAAGGTAAGTTATAGTAAAAGTTTATATATAATTTACTATTTTTTCTGTTACAAGTTTATTTGAAACATGACAACTGTGACACTTTTCCCAGAGGGGCGTCCTAGTGGCTCCTTGTCAAACAAGGATGTCTTGTAGATCTTCTCCAGATAGTGTACAGCAATTAAAATGTACACGGCGTATAATTGCTTTCCTAAAGCATATTTGTAGCGACAATATTTTCCTTAGGCACCTTTGGTTTTCTTCTTCCAGCTGAGACGTGCGCATATGGGTGAATTAGAGGAGAGTGCTTTCAGTCAATACTTGAAAAAGCCATCTGTCAACCAATAAAACTTACAAAAATGTGCTTCTCATCTAAAACTCTTCCACGAGAAAGGTTTTGTCTTGGAAGCAGTTTGTCCTTAGCTTCGGGGCACGAAAGCAAGAACAAAGAAATGTACAGTCTTCAGAAACCTTGAACTGATGGCAATAACGTAAGGTTCTCTAAAATCTTGATTTATCTGTTCGGCACCACAATTTTAATAGGGTTTTTTAAATTAATTCTCATGAAACAGTGAAAACGTTTCAAACAAGGACAAGATGCATTCGGCTCATCTAGTCTAAAGGTTGCAATCAGCCTTGGACCAAAGGGACCTAACTTCTGGCATAAATAGCAGCAAGCACTCTGGTTTCATCCTTTTCTGTGGCAGAACTGCTAAGCTGCAAGAAGAAGCAAGGGCTCTTAACTTCCCAGGGCTTCACAGGAAACACCACCCAGTAAGTGTGAAATATTTGCATGTATTACTAATGTACATTCCTACTATCTTAGCTGCTGTTTTTAATTCTGTCCAATTCTTAAAGTAAAGAAGTTTTAAAAATAATGTTAAAAGTTATTGTTTAAAACAATCATAGTTTGGTGTTTTATTATCTAATATCTTGTAAAATATGCCCCCCTCCTAATTTCTGCATCATGGGACTTAGCAGCTAGATTATGCCTTAAATTTGCATGTACTAACTCTGACCTACAGTGTTGTATGCCATGAGGCAGTTTTTAAACTCAGTTTTCAAAGGAAGTATGTCTCTGGGCAAAATGACGTGCAACTTAGTATTTTAAAACATATATACCATACGCACCGAAGCAATTGCTAACATAATTGGGCCAAGATGTGATTCCAATAAGACTGAAAAAGCAAAACTGTAAACGGATCTTGAAAAAGCACGTTGCCAGAAACATGCTTCATTTTCCAATCGGAAACATTTGTTTGGGGTACTGTTACAACTTCAACTTATTCGAAAGTCTTATGATTCTTAAATGCAGCAGAGTTTTTGGCAGTTGACTTTCTGCATGCTCAGAGTCTAACTGTATCAAGCTTTCATTTATTTAACCCACAGAGAGGAACGTGGAGGGTTTTCTGCACGGGCGAGGAAATGGAAAACTTGACCGCTGTCTCCAGCTCCTATAGAATCATCATAGCATTGCTTTTCACTGTTCTGAGCTTTGTTCATTGTTTGCCTATTGAGGAAGACTCTGTTTGCACAGCAGAAGAACTTGCAAGGTACACCATTATTTTCACAGGAAAGTGGACCCAGGCATCGTTCCCTAAGCAGTACCCTCTGTTCAGGCCTCCAGCACAATGGTCGTCACTTCTGGGTAAGTCAGGCTCGTGCAGTTACTAAAGGCAAGCTAACTCTCTAAAAACCGTACCATCTTTTCTTAATTTATTTATTTTTTTGTAATCAAGTTACGTCTAAGTTCCTATGACTGAGAGACCAAACATGCACTATCAGCAAGCTCAGTGTTATACAATGTGGGGCTGGTTTCTCCGGCTAGCTTCTGTTTCCAATTTTGCTGCAGCTAAAGTAAACAGCATACCTTACTTCTTTAAACATAGCTTGTTCCACTTCAGAAAGAGAGGAGAAGAACAGCATACAGTATATTATTAAGCAAATCTAAACCAGACTCCTGCCTGCTGCAATGTCTTCCCTTCCACAGGCGCTGCCCATAACTCTGACTACAACATGTGGAAAATGAACGAGTTTGCCAGCAACGGGATGCGTGACTTTGCCGAAAGAGGTGAACCCTGGGCATTAATGAAGGAAATAGAAGCAGCTGGGGAAAAAATCCAAAGCATTCACGGAATATTCTCCGCTCCTGCCATTTCCACTGGCACGGGGCAAACGGCCGCAGACTTGGAGGTCCACCCAAGACACCCGCTGGTAAGTAGGGAAAATACTCATTGGCCTATTTTTTTGTAAAAAAATAAATAAAAAATAGAGCCATCACCCGATTAAAGAAATGGAAGTCGGTTACTTAAAACGAGTGTGTTATTCAGTCAGTTGTTTTCCCCCCAAAATTGCATGCAATTAAAACAATGGTTTTCAACAACCGGGAGTCCTTAAATTTTAGGTGTGTACATCACAGCAAGCACCTTTGAAGAGAGGCATGTCGTTGTGTGTCTGTCCGCAGGGGGAATGCCTCTTTCAAGATGGTTCCTGCCACCTCCGTATGGTTTTTAAAAATATAAGTAAAGGTAAAGGGACCCTTGACCATTAGGTCCAGTCATGGCCGACTCTAGGGTTGCGGCGCTCATCTTGCTTTATTGGCCGAGGAAGCTGGCATACAGCTTCCAGGTCATGTAGCCAGCATGACTAAGCTGCTTCTGGCGAACCAGAGCAGCGCACGGAAACGCCATTTACTTTCCCGCCGGAGCGGTACCTATTTATCTACTTGCACTTTGATGTTCTTTTGAACTGCTAGGTTGGCAGGAGCAGGGACCGAGCAATGGGAGCTCACCCCGTCACGGGGATTCGAACCGCCGACCTTCTGATCGGCAAGTCCTAGGCTCTGTGGTTTAACCCACAGCACCACCCGCGTCTATAAGTAGTTATAGTACTATAAGTAGTACTATAAGTAGTTACATCTAAATAAAGGCTTTAAAAGAAAAGAAACGACCGTGTTGGCCAATTCATTGGGGTGTCAACAGGCCTGTTCAGAGGTTGTGTGATGCCTGGGGCGAGAGTCTTGTTAGAATAAAGTTATAAACTCAAACAAAAAAAGCAGCCTGCTTGGTTACATAAGAGCAAGGTAGCTCAGATAAACCAGTTTATTGCACCAGACACGTGGCTCCAACAGCCCAGGACATGCGCCACTGCGGTGGCGGCAGCGCCGAATCAGATCCTCATCTGCTAGTATGCAGTAACGCAGGTCTAGATTTTACTATCAAAGTCTTGCAGCGCATTAAGTCCCCAGTCAGCTGGGTGGTACGGGTCCAGTGGAAGATTTAGGAAAGTGCAACCAGATTGGTCATGTTGGGCATAGAGCCTTGGGGTGGCACTGTGGTCTAAACCACTGACCCTCTTGGGCTTGCTGATCAGAAGATCGGTGGTTCAAATCCCTGCGACGGGGTGAGCTCCTGTTGCTCTGTCCTAGCTCCTGCCAACCGAGCAGTCTGAAAGCATACCAGTGCAAGTACATAAATAGGTACCACTGCAGCGGGAAGGTAAACGGCGTTTCCGTGCGCTCTAGTTTCCATCACGGTGTCCTGTTGCGCCAGAAGCAGTTTAGTCCTGCTGGCCACATGACCCGGAAAGCTGTCTGTGGACAAACACCAGCTTCCTCGGCCTGAAAGCGAGATGAGCGCCGCAACCCTATAGTCGCCTTTGACTGGACTTAACCGCTCGGGGGTCCTTTACCTTCACTTTTTAGAGCCGTGGGGGTGCCACAACTACAATTCATAATGGAGCGCAAGAGGCCTTGCATGGGATGCTGCTGAAATTTGAAAGCCCAAGGTCTTGGCATGACAGCTTAAGTTTGGCAGGTCCCTGGCAGGGGCCCCCCAACCAACTTAGCCCTCCAAGGCCTATCACAAGTGTATCCAGCTGCCCCCCCTCCAAATAGGCCTGAGGATCAATTGAGGCATCTAACTGATTCGTCAATCAAAGGTTGCAGCTCTTGGAAGCATGGGTGGAATTGCATGAGCAGACGTCACCTTCCTCTTTTCACCCACTTCAGATTTTGAGGGTGGAGCGGAGACTGCCGAGAGGAGGAGAGGAAGGCAACGTCCCATCGCATTAGAAGTCTGCTCCACGCCTGCACAAACAGCTTTGTACACAGCCCAATATGTGCATGACTGAAACTATTTGAAGAAGAGTCTCTTATATAAGCGCCGCAGAGTTTAATATATTTTGCTCAAGAGGCCGCCAAGTGTGATGTGGGAAAGGGCCGTATTGTGCCATAATCAATAAAAATAAATAAAGTAGATTATTTCTAAAACAGACTCTCCAAGTGTCCCTATTTTCCAGTGACAGTCCTGGATTTACAGAAGGCGTCCTGGGTTCTAATTTGATCCCAGAATGTCCCGCTTTTCCTTAGGACATCCCTATTTTCATCAGAGAAATGTTGGAGGGCATGAAGTTATGCGACTCCTGAGCCAAGAAGATACAACCATTAGAAGCCTGTATAGGGATTTTTTTTAAAAAAATGTTTAATGGGTGGCATATAAATAATCAACTTATTATGATTATTGAATAGGACACCCCTATTTCCATCGGAGAAACTTTGGAGGGTATGTTATGATATTACTGTTACACTGGTTTATTTACATGTGACGTTGTGGTGCAATAATATAAGGAGGCTTAATCTAACGTGCTTAATTCGGGTTCTGAAGTAAGCCTTTTCTTTTTTTTTAACTGCTAGGTGTCCATTGCAGTGCGAATTGTGCCCAGCCCTGACTGGTTCGTGGGCATTGACAGTTTAAATCTGTGTGAAAAAGACCACTGGAAACAGAAAGTATCTTTGGATCTTTTCCCGTATGACGCTGGCACTGACAGTGGCTTCACGTTTTCCTCCCCCAATTTTGCCACTATCCCACAGGATCCTGTCACAGAGGTAAGTTTCTAAGCCGTTCCTTGACTGGTCAAACACACAATTCCATTCAACATTAGTGTGATCATTATTTTATATCACAGCCGTAATTGTGATGGTAGCATAGGGACACGGGTGGCGCTGTGGGTTAAACCACAGAGCCTAGGACTTGCTGATCAGAAGGTCGGCGGTTCGAATCCCCCCAATGGGGTGAGCTCCTGTTGCTCGGTCCCTGCTCCTGCCAACCTTGCAGTTCGAAAGCACGCCAGTGCAAGTAGATAAATAGGTACCGCTCTGGCGGGAAGGTAAACGGCATTTCTGTGCGCTGCTCTGGCAAACCAGAGCAGTGCACAGAAACGCCCTTTACCTTCCCGCCGGAGCGGTACCTATTTATCTACTTGCACTTTGACGTGCTTTCGAACTGCTAGGTTGGCAGGAGCAGGAACTGAGCAACGGGAGCTCACCCGTTGTGGGGATTCAAACCGCCAACCTTCTGATCGGCAAGCCCTAGGCTCAGTGGTTTAACCCACAGCACCACCCACATCCCTCACATTGTCTACGATGTCTATATTTCAGGCAGTTTCTGCATGTGCTGTAGAGGGAAGTGTGGGGCAGATAAGGCTCATCAACAGGGGAAGGTAACTCATCTGGGAGAGGGAAAACTCTAGTTCTAAACCTCCGCTGCCTTAAGGGATATCTTTGGGATGTTGTCATGTGGGCAGCCCAGGATCTCCATACACACTGCTCAGGAAGTGACCTGGCAGGTCACTATGGCAGACTAATCCAGCAAACACAAAGCGGGAGGGAGCAGTTTTGAGTTACCACTGGTCTCTGCAGCCACAGCAAGTGCTGTGAATCTTCAGTGGCTCGACTTCACCCCCAGAGGTGCACTCCATTGTCTCTCGAGACAGACGGATGCCAACGACAACAAGAGACGTTCATTGGACATCTGTATAGAGGTCAAATCACATAAGCCTCTTTCACAAGAGCACCACCTCCTGATTTTAAGAGTTAGCAATCGAGGGCATCAAGCGATGCACACAACTCTGTGTATGTCGGCTCCCAGTCAAATGTGATGTCATAAAGTATGGGGTTTTTTGTGACTCCATAACAAGTTGATCACTATCCCAACTCTCAAAGCCTCTTTTGACATTTCTTTAATACTGTTTTTAAAAGAGCATTCCAGAGGCAAGAGCTTTTTGCCGCAACAAATAGGTGCAATTAATTTTTCTTTCTTTCTTCATGCACAGAGGTCTGCACATTGATACCTGTTTTTAGGGAAACAGCAAAATTTCACATCTAAAGCCATTCTTAGGCTGTAACATGCAACCCATCCATAGGATACAATGTGAGGGGGAGCTTATTGGTGTTTTTGAATTCTTAAAATTCATGGCACTTCCCCCCCCCCAAAAAAAAATCAATTTGTTTATGCAGGTGCAAACCCTTTACTAATGGCCTTGGAATGCACATACTTAATAGTGTTCTTCTTAGCACTTTTGCCTTTTTGAAAAACCTTTAACTCTGCTGACTGTTCTCCTACAGGTGAGAAATGTTACAGCATGGTTTGTTGCTCAGACAAACCATGATCAATAAGTCAAGAACATACTTTAACTACAGATCATGGTTTGATCAGAGTGTAACAAATCATGATCCCCAGTTCAGACAGAACACTAAGCATGGTTTGTTTCACCTGTACTCTAGCAGGCAGGAACAGAGTGGTTAAGATTGACATGTTGACATTAATATGGTTTACTGTGATGTGTGAACAAGGCCACTCAGACATTGCCCTACTATGGGAAAGAAGCAGGCAATGTTGTCAATAACTGCCGGCTACTTCGGAGAAGGTGTAACCTCAGGTACAGCTTTGCTATTGGTTAAAAACTGTTTTACATATTTATTGAAACACTTTCACAAAGCTTCACACACAAAGCTGCACCAAGAAACAAAAAACAATCATAAAACCACAATAAAACCACTAGGGCTGTGCAGACATCCCTGATCTGATTTATAACCCTGATTTATAAATCTGGATTGGACCAGATTTGGTCTAGACCAGATTCAGCCAATCCCAGAACTGAACCCAGCTTGTGATCCAGAAATGACAGATCCCCAGAAATCCTATTGCAAAACAAGAGCATTCTTGTTTCTTTACATAGAGCAGTGGTGGCCAAACTTGGCCCTCCAGCTGTTTTGGGACTACAATTCCCATCATCCCTGACCACTAGTCCTGTTAGCTAGGGATGATGGGAATTGTAGTCTGAAATCAGCTGGAGGGCCAGGTTTGGCCACCACTGACATAGAGGCATGAACTGTGGAGCTGTGTTTGCTGCAACAGAGGCACAGTAGCTGTAGGGGGTTGCATTCTAGCTCCTACGACTGCCCCTTGCCCCCTGCTTTTGATAGTTCTGGATTACCCCGGGTGGATCTGCCACAGAGCTATCCTGGGCTCCTGCTATCCACTCTGGCTGAATCCCGGTTCAGTTCAAATTGGTACAATTTGGTTCCCTGGCATTTGTTGGCATGTTGAGATTGTGGGCATCCGTCTGTCTCGGGAGACAATGAAAGGGTGCACCTTTGGGGGGTGACATCAACCCGCTGGAGACTCTGAACTCCCAAGAACCCACTGAAGTAAGTGGACAGTGGTGGGTCAGCACTGTGTTGACCAGGGTCTGCCTGGCTTAATGAAGGCAGTAGCTGACCAGTGAAACACAATCATCTCTCTCACTGATGGAAGGCAACCTCTAGTGCTCATACCTTATGCCAGTCAAGTTGAGCTTAAGGTAAAGGTAAAGGGACTCCTGACCATTAGGTCCAGTCGCGGACGACTCTGGGGTTGTGGCGTTCATCTCGCTTTACTGGCTGAGGGAGCCAGCGTACAGCTTCTGGGTCATGTGGCCAGCATGACTAAGCTGCTTCTGGCGAACCAGAACAGCGCATGGAAACACCATTTACCTTCCCGCCAGAGTGGTACCTATTTATCTACTTGCACTTTGACGTGCTTTTGAACTGCTAGGTTGGCAGGAGCTGGGACCGAGCAACGGGAGCTCACCCCGTTGTCAGGATTCGAACCACCAACCTTCTGATTGGCAAGCCCAAGAGGCTCTGTGGTTTAACCCACAGCGCCACCCGCATCTAAGTTGAGCTTAGAACTTGTAAATGCTGCCTTTCACACACCGAAGTGACCTTTCTGGGGTGCAACACTTTTACTCTCGCAAGATTCAATGTATTGCCCTCGGCTGTATTTGAGGGACGATTCCAACAGATTCCACATGAAAAACGCTTATGTCCATGTGGAGTTGGGAGTACCGAATCGGTGGCGCATGCCCTTCTGGCTTGCACTCTTTATAAAGACTTGAGGAGTGAGATTATCACCCCTCTTTTATCGTCTGTTCTGGGTCTCCCAACCACTGCCACAATGTCCTTTCTCTTGGCAGATCAAGATGAGCAGGTGACAGCAAAGGTTTTTAGCTGGGGCAATCAGAATAAGATCCACCATTTGACTATTGATTCAAAACCCCAAAATGTATTTTATATAATTGCCTTTTTATTTCTATCCTTTGTATATCGTATCTTTGTTTTATTACTATGGCTGACGGCTGATGCAAATAAAATTCATTCATTCATTCTCTGGGGCACAAGCCTGGGCAGTGTGCATGGAAGTCTTGGGCTGCCCAGACCACAAGACTGGCATATACTTGGCCAGAGCCAGTGAACTCCCCTAATATATACGGAGAGCTATCCCCATGATGGGGTGAGCTCCCATTGCTCGGTCCCTGCTCCTGCCAACCTAGTTCAAAAGCACGTTGAAGTGCAAGTAGATAAATAGGTACCGCTCTGGCAGGAAGGTAAACAGTGTTTCCGTGTGCTGCTCTGGTTTGCCAGAAGCGGCTTAGTCATGCTGGCCACATGACCCAGAAGCTGTACGCCGGCTTCCTCGGCCAATAAAGCGAGATGAGCGCTGCAACCCCAGAGTCGGTCACGACTGGACCTAATGGTCAGGGTTCCCTTTACCTTTTTATACTAATAGTTCTCTGATTGCTTCTCCTTATGCAGCCCAAACGTTGCCATCTATTAACCAGCAGATTTGATGGAACCCCAAGATTAGTAAAAGATCAAAAAGAAACCTTTAGGGGAAAATGAGAACTGAGCATGTTCAATGGGTGCAGTACTATGATGAATGGTGATGGGACAGCAAATGGAAGTGGTGGAACCCTGTGCAGGAGCAACCCGCACTGCAACATTTTGCTGCAGATTCCCTTTGTGATACTAAATTGGTATCTTTTGTATATGTGTTTCAATTCACAGATCACTGCTTCCTCTCCAAGTCACCCAGCAAACTCGTTTTATTACCCCAAGCTTAAAAAATTACCACCTATCGCTCGAGTAACTATGATAAAAGTGAAAAGAGGCAAACTAGGATTTCCTCCTCCTCAGCCCAATGTGACTGCAATCAGGAATGAAATTGATGATTCTGTTTCAGGTAAGTGTTTAACACTTGGATAACGTGGACTGTTTTGCTATAAGTAAGTATGTAATGTGAAAAAATGAATGCACAGGGAGATCATATGGATAAATGGCAAAAATACATTTATATAGATAATCCCTGTGGGATAATTAATAAAAGAATTGGCTGGATCCCTAGAGATCCAAAGTGCAAGGCTAAACGTAAAGGTAAAGGGACCTCTGACTATTAGGTCCAGTTGTGGCTGACTCTGGGGTTGCGGCGCTCATCTTGCTTTACTGGCCAAGGAAGCCGGCGTACAGCTTCCGGGTCATGTGGCCAGCATGACTAAGCCGCTTCTGGCAAACCAGAGCAGCGCACAGAAACGCTGTTTACCTTCCTGCCGGAGCGGTACCTATTTATCTACTTGCACTTTGACGTGCTTTCAAACTGCTGGGTTGGCAGGAGCAGGGACCGAGCAACGGGAGCTCACCCCTTCGCAGGGATTCGAACCGCCGACCTTCTGATCGGCAAGTCCTTGGCTCTGTGGTTTAACCCACAGCGCCACCCACATCCCTTAAGGCTAAACATACTCTCCAGCAAAAAAGAGCCCCCAACAGACTTTAAAAACACAGAATCATGCAGCAAAGTTAAGCAAGGGAATAATAGACCTTTTAAATATTCTGTTCTAGCTGCTTATGATGCTTCCCCTTTCTACCCCTCTCACAATGAACAGACCATACCATTAGTAAGTTTGAATGCTTTACTTACAAACACTGAAGGTCAGAAGGTCAGATTCACATGTTATTCCATGCAGTGGCAAGTAGGCAGAAATCTTGGGATACAAAATATAGTGAAATAGCTCTAAGTACGTGGTCTGAGCTTGTAGTGAGCTATCTTGGTGAGTTCACATCCTGAAAAAAGAACAAACAAAGGAGGGAAATTAACTTTCTTCCAGGTGAGGGATGTTACCTAGCTGAGCCTAGGAATGCAATTTTGTGGCCTTAACCCCTTCATGCATTAACCAGCCTTCAGCTTGCTAGTTATGCTTGACTACAGTTTCCCACACAATTTCCCTTCTGCAAGTGATAGTGAAGTTTACTTCCAAAGGAGTACAGTGGTACCTTGGTTCTCAAACTTAATCTGTTCTGGAAGTCCGTTCCAAAACCAAAGCATTCCAAAACCAAGGCACGCTTTCCCAAAGATAATGCAAAACGAATTAATCCAGGCTTTTAAAAACAACCCCTAAAACAGTAATTTAACATGAATTTTACTATCTTAACAAAACCATTGAGCCATAAAATGGAAGCACTAATCAATGTACTGTACTATAAAATAAATAAGACTGTATTGTAGATGATAAAGAATATTTTTTTCTTTCTTACCTGCACTGATAGTCAATGTTTGGATGGGGGACTTTTATCCACTTCCTCAGTCACACAGTCAATCTATCAGTAGCTGCATAGCTGTCAACTTTTCCCTTTTCTTGCGAGGAATCCTATTCAGAATAAGGGAATTTCCCTTAAAAAAAAGGAAACGTTGACAGCTATGGTAGCTGAACTGGGTTCCACACAGTCACAAAAAACAAATTAACCAAAAAAGCCTCAAAAACCAAAACGCAAAATAAATAGCAATAACAAAAGCGCCAAACTTAATCCGTTCCAGAAGTCTGTTTGACTTCTGAAATGTTCGAAAACCAAGGTGCAGCTTCTGATTGGTGCAGGTGTTCCAGAAACAATAGCCGACAGCTGCATCGGACGTTCGGCTTCCGAAAAATGTTCGAAAACTGGAACACTTCCAGTTTCTGGCGTTTGAGTACCCAGGCGTTTGAGAACCAAGGCATTTGAGAACCAAGGTACCACTGTACTGGCTAGAGTGGAATTTCATCAGGCAGATCACATGAAGTGCTTTATGCTGATACCACACATCTGCCGGCAGATTGCTGCCACTGCCCACTGGACATTCATATGACCAGCCACAACAAAGCTGATTTTAAAAAGCTGCAGGTTGTGCAATGGTATCACAGCCATGTGGAAGGATGGCTTTTCTGCAACCAGTCCTCAGTGTGTGTAGTAAATTATTTGACTTGATGAAAGAGTGACCATTAGTGCCTCTGCTTTACTTTAGTTAAAAACTGTGCAGACTGCTGCTTCATTCATACCTTAGGGCAGAGGTCCTCTCCCAAACACCCCTGGTCCATCTGAGAAGGTTCTTTTACCTTCAGCTAGTAAGTGTTTGGGGATGTCTAAACCACAGAGCCTAGGGCTTGCTGATCAGAAGGTCAGCAGTTCAAATCCCCGCGACAGGGTGAGCTCCCATTGCTCAGATCCTGCTCCTGCCAACCTAGCAGTTCGAAAGCACGTCAAAGTAGATAAATAGGTACCACTCCGGCAGAAAGGTAAACGGCGTTTCCGTGCTCTGCTCTGGTTTCGCCAGAAGCGGCTTAGGCATGCTGTCCACATGACCCGGAAGCTGTACGCCAGCTCCCTTGGCCAGTAAAGCGAGATGAGCGCCGCAAGCCGAGAGTCGTCCGGAACTGGACCTAATGGTCAGGGGTCCCTTTACTTTTTAGTAAGTGTTTAGTTAAGGTGCTTACAAATTCACCCACATGTTAAACAGCATGGAAATTGTAATCACCACCGAGGAAGTAAGCAAATTTTGCAACACGTCATGTACACTTTCTCTTGGATTTTCAGCCCCAGTGCTGCTTATGTTCAGTCAGAGTTAGCCGAAACTGGCATCATAATTTATCATTCCCATGCATTCTGGTGCTTGAGTGAACTTACAATGGCCTTAACTCTTTCCTTACACCAATGGTTGCTTGAGCCTAGGATTTCCATGCCTAGGAATTTCCTAAAAGGAAATTCAAGGCAATCATTTATGTATATTATACCTTTAGAAAGTGAAAGCATTTAGCACATATTCTCTTAGGAATCTTCATAGTTTGTCCAGTAGTTCATAACAACAACAACAACAACAACAACAATTTATTATTTATATCCTGTCTATCTGGCTGGGTTTCCCCAGCCACTCTGGGAGGTTCCCAACAGAATATTCAAAATGCAATAAAAACATTAAAAACTTCCCTCAACAGGGCTGCCTTCAGATGTCTTCTAAAAGTCAGTTATTCATTTCCTTGACATCTGATGGGAGGGCGTTCCACAGGGCGGGTGCCACTACCGAGAAGGCCCTCTGCCTGGTTCTCCTGTAACCTCACTTCTCTCAGGGAAGGGAACCACCAGAAGACCCTCGGAGCTGGACCTCAGTGTCTGGGCTGAACGATGGGGGTGGAGACGCTCCTTCAGGTATACTAGGCTGAGTGTTATGTGGTCTCGGCGGCCACTCCCAGTCACCAGTCTAGCTGCCGCATTCTGGATTAGTTGTATTTTCCGGGTCACCTTCAAAGGTAGCCCCACGTAGAGCGCATTGCAATAGTCCAAGCGGGAAATAACCAGAGCATGCACCACTCTGGTGAGACAGTCCGCGGGCAGGTAGGGTCTCAGCCTGTGTACCAGATGGAGCTGGTAGACAGCTGCCCTGGACACAGAATTGACCTGTGTCTCCATGGACAGCTGTGAATCCAAAATGACTCCCAGGCTGTGCACCTGATCCTTCAGAAGCACAGTTACCCCATTCAGGACCAGGGAATCCCCCACACCTGCCCACCCCCTGTCCCCCAAAACAGCACTTCTGTCTTGTCAGGATTCAACCTCAAAAGAAAACTTTCTGAGCCTACAATGTATTCCATTGTTGCTTAACTTTGAGAGTGAAGGGACCACAGCTAAGACAGGAAGCCTGATGCAAACCTTGGACTATAGACCACTGCTATCAGAAACAGTGAACTGAGAGATATCAAAAGAGATGTTAGAACAGATCACTAGAACAGGGGTAGGCAACCTAAGGCTGGATGTGGCCCAATCGCCTTCTCAATCCGGCCCGCGGACAGTCCAGGAATCAGTGTGTTTTTACATAAGTAGAATGTGTCCTTTTATTTAAAATGCATGTCTGGGTTAGTTGTGGGGCTTGCCTGGTGTTTTTACATGAGTAGAATGTGTGCTTTTATTTAAAATGCATGTCTGGGTTATTTGTGGGGCATAGGAATTTGTTCATTCCCCCACCCCTCTAATATAGTCCAGCCTGCCACATGGTCTGAGGGATGGTGGACTGGCCCACGGCTGAAAAAGGTTGCTGACCGCTAGACTAGAGGAAATAAGCTAAACTCAGCAAATTCTCTCTCTCTCTCTCTCTCTCTCTCTCTCTCTGTCTCTCTGTCTCTCTCTCTCTCTCCCCCCATAGACAATTTCACACACACACACACACACACACACACACACACACACACACAAACATATTTAGAGCACAATTTTTATTAATTTAAAAAGACTACCAGCTTTTGGTACAGTTCCATGCAGTAGCTTCAATAGAGGTGTACAGCAACAGACAATCTCACAAAGTTTAGTCAGTTAAAGAGGAAGATTGCAGGGGAGGGTTGTGGTTTTTTTGGTGTTTTTTTTTGAAAGAGTAAGAAGAAAGCAAGATGAACTGGGAATGTATCAAGTTGTTTACATCACAGTTCTCCAGAGCTTTTGCTTTAGTTTAAACAAAACTTATGCAACCATACATTGTGACATTATGTTAGGGAAAATAGGGGAAAACACTATGGAAAACACTTGTTGCGAATTCTGACTGGAAATACTATTTCATATATGTGGACATTTCAGTTAGTTTAATACAAGTCACCAGAATACAAGTCACCAGATCTTGAACAACTATGCTGGCACTCAGAGCGTTCTGGGGCTTGCTTTTAAAGGCTTGCAAGGCTTGGGGTCCAGGAATATCCCCACTTATTGTCAGAGACCTATGGCTTAAACCTGGCTTGTTTGAAATTAACCACTGTTTGTCAACACAGTGTGATAGGAATTTTATGGTCTTAGATATATGGTAATGTTCATAAGTGTACCAACCAAGCACGTACATAGATCAGCACAGGAAGACCAACCTGGAACCATTTTGATTCCTAAACTGAGCAAATGTTTTCTCTGCAAGGTCAAAGTGGGAAACCTCCCCATTGTCTCTTTCCTCACAAATCCTGTCTTAAGGGCACATTTAAGATATGAATAGGGTGTGAGCCTGTGACCTGGCCCAGGAACTAAGTACAAATCATTGACCAGAGATCCTCAGGCAATCCAATCAAGTAACCTGCCAGACAGGAGATAAACAAGGACAGGAGAAAAACAACATTCAAATTTCTGTTTAAGACCGCCTTTTCTGTGATGTATGCATGATGTATGGAGGGCTGGTCTTGGTTACGCTCTCAGTGATGCATGTATGAAGTTTCTAAGGTGGTCTGATCTACAGGTGGCAGTTCAAAGTCTTTATAAGGCCTTGTGTGCCATTGTTCTGGGTCCTCCTCCTCGCCTGCAGGTGAGGGGAGCACCCTGTTGCAACAGATCAATAAAGATCAAGCTTACTAGCTGCTTTGCTTCTCAATATTCTCTGGTTGGCCTCTGTTATCTTCTCCTACCAATAGGGAACCTATGTAAGGACTCTATATGGGCTCTTGGATACCCCATAAAGGAAAAGGGCAATTTTTGTTTACATCAACAGCATACTATAGCTGAGGGAAAGCAGGAAGCTTCCATCGCCTTCTCCTGGCCTTGAGGGACAAGCATGGGGCAGGATGCTTGATATGGTTCATGCACACTTGGCTCCTGGATCTGAAGCAGACTCCTGTTGCTTTATCCATTTCCTGTATATTTCAGAAACTCCCCTGGATTGTGAGACATCGCTGTGGTCTTCTTGGGGCCTCTGCAGAGGCACGTGTGGACATTTAGGAACTAAAAGACGAACTCGGTATATACGTCTCCAGCCGGCCAATAATGGATTACCCTGCCCAGAGCTGAATGAAGAAAAAGAATGCGACCCGGATAACTGCGTGTGAGACGGTTCTCTGGGACAATAATTTAGATAATTTAAATATAGGATACACTTGGTTAACACCACCTATTCCTGTTAATATTCCTTATTTTTCAGAATAGTTGTAATATTTTGTTGAAATGTTTTGCTAAACTGAGTTGGGCATGTTTAGCCTGGAGAAGAGGAGGTTAAGGGGTGATATGATAGCCATGTTCAAATATATAAAAGGATGTCACATAGAGGAGGGAGAAAGGTTGTTTTCTGCTGCTCCAGAGAAGTGGACACGGAGCAATGGATCCAAACTACAAGAAAGAAGATTCCACCTAAACATTAGGAAGAACTTCCTGACAGTAAGAGCTGTTCGACAGTGGAATTTGCTGCCAAGGAGTGTGGTGGAGTCTCCTTCTTTGGAGGTCTTTAAGCAGAGGCTTGACAACCATATGTCAGGAGTGCTCTGATGGTGTTTCCTGCTTGGCAGGGGGTTGGACTCGATGGCCCTTGTGGTCTCTTCCAACTCTATGATTCTATGATTCTATTCTATGATTCTATGATTCTATGAGTTGCTAGATAGAAAACAGCCTTTTTATTATGGACTACTGCAGTGCCACCTGGTGGCAGAAACATTTCTCAACCGTATGTACTTCAATTATCAGACATGCATATCTGTAAAAAAAAAAAGTAAAGGCCACTACTTTTAAGAATTAGAATGTGTTCTTTGACATGTATTTATATGCACTGTATTCCTCTGAATTATTTTGCTGGGATTTTTGACATTTATGGTGTGTTATTTGCAAACATATTTAATGCACACTTGAGAAAACAAAACAAAAAACCAGACAGGAAAGGCAGAGAATAAAATACAATACCAGCATCCTCGTTGGTGTACAAAATAAGAGGCGTGACTTTCTCAGGGATAAGAAGAATGCCCCGTGACAAAATAACTAGGCTAGCCATTATCACATGTTTATGTGTGGAGAGAGAGAAGTACTATGGTCTGAATGCCGTAACAAACCATAATTCTCTTGTTTGGCTGCTGGCTGACATTGGCTTGCTAGAACACCCAGCACCAGCCAACTCCTCCAAGCCATCACTGGCCTGCCATTTTTATTCATTTTATCCATTTGGAAACCATACCTCATCAGGTAAGATCCTGAGGTGTTTTCAACAATTACATTAAAGCATCAAAATAACACATCTCATATTAAGACCGTTTGAACTGTCAAACAACAATCTATACAACAGAACATCAATTATAGATAGAACTGCTACATCAATTTCTAGGGCCCAATTCAACAATGTAGCTCAAACCCAAGAATCTTCAGACCCAATCTGACCCCCAGATTGCGATCTGGAGGAGGGGGGAATCTTTGGAAATCCAACTGGCTTGCATTAGGAAATCCAAAATGGCCGCAACTTCCTTGTGTCCCCCCCCCCACATGGGGACACGGGATTTGGAAGCAAACTGCTCTGGTGGGGTGCTACTATCTTGCTTGCCACAGAAAACATCCTCCCAGCTGAGACATTGGTTGATGGACAAGAAAACCTTTCCTAGACCTGAGGCAGGTCTTGCCAAACAGGCCACAGGCTGACCAGAAGGCCAGGGGGTCGGAGGACAGTTCCTGGCACTCAGGGTCTTGGTGGCCTTTGGAAAGGGCATGAGGAGCACTGCAAGCTGAGAAGTGGCGTCCTATTGCTCTCTGCCCAGTAGGCCAATTTCTCCATCAATGGAGATTTCATTCTTTTGTTCTACCATATGCTCACGCAAGAGTTGGGTAGTGTTCCAGAATCCTACTAGAAAGAAAGCAAAATGAAGAGAAGGGGGGGGGGGAGAGAAAAGAAAAATAATCTAATAGGTTTGAGGTTAGGTTTACGTGTTAGGGTTAGATTTAAGCTTAGGGTTAGTTATGTGTTAGGTTTAAGGGGCTAGGGTATAGGCTTAGTGCTAGGGAATAGAGTTAGGGTTAGTGGTTAGGGTTCTGTACTTGGGTTAAGCATAGGGTTGGGGCTTTGGATTAAGGTTTGTGGCTGGGGCTGAGGACTGTGGTTCATGTTAGGTTTAAGACTAGGTTTAGAGTTGGGGTTAGGGTCAGGATTATAGGTTGGGTTAGGGAATAGGCTAGCATGAGGATTTGGGGGTAGGTTTAGGGCATGGGTAGGCAAACTAAAAGGGACGCAGGTGGTGCTGTGGGGTAAACCACTGAGCCTAGGACTTGCCAATCAGAATGTCGGCGGTTCGAATCCCCACAGTGGGGTGAGCTCCCGTTGCTTGGTCCCTGCTCCTGCCAACCTAGCAGTTCGAAAGCACGTCAAAGTGCAAGTAGACAAATAGGTACCACTCCAGCGGGAAGGTAAAGGGTGTTTCCGTGCGCTGCTCTGGTTCACCAGAAGCGGCTTAGTCATGCTGGCCACATGACCCAGAAGCTGCACGCCGGCTCCCTTGGCCAATAAAGCGAGATGAGCGCCGCAACCCCAGAGTTGGTCACGACTGGACCTAATGGTCAGGGGTCCCTTTACCCTTTACCTTTAGGCAAACTAAGGCCTAGGGGCCGGCCCCGGCCCAATCGCCTTCTAAATCTGGCCTGCAGGTGGTCCAGGAATCAGTGTGTTTTTACATGAGTAGAATGTGTGCTTTTATTTAAAATGCATCTCTGCGTTATTTGTGGGGCAAAGGAATTCGTTCATATATTTTTTTCCAAAATATAGTCCGTTCCCCCACAAGGTCTCGGACAGTGGACCGGCCCCCTGCTGAAAAACTTTGCTGAACCCTGGTTTAGGGTTAGGAATTAAGGTGAGGGGTTAGAGTTATGTATTAGAGGTTAGGGTTAAACTTTTTCTTAGTGTTAAGGTTTGGGTTAGGCACTCAGGTTACAGGTTACATCTGGTTGGCCTCTATGAGAACAGGATGCTGGACTAGACCTGATTGGCCTGATACTGATAAAGCTCTTCTTATGTTTTCACTGCACTTCATGTACGTAGTTTCTGACCATTTCAAATTTTGGGCATGCTTCACAGGGTTCATAGAGATCACTCCCCATAGACTGTTATCCAGGACAGTCAGTTTCCACAGACAGGGTAGGGACTTGCTTTTCAAGACGGGGGGCGGGGGGGGAGTGAAAGGGAGAGAGATAGTAATAGTAATAGTAATAAAGTGTATTAATTTTGTTTCTTAAAACTTGAAAGCATTTCTGGTAGGGCCACTGGTCACTGCAGTCAGCTGGCCATCTTAGTAAAAGGTAAAGGTAAAGGGACCCCTGACCATTAGGTCCAGTTGTGGCCGACTCTGGGGTTGCAGCACTCATCTTGCTTTATTGGCCAAGGGAGCCGGCGTACAGCTTCCGGGTCATGTGGCCAGCATGACTAAGCCGCTTCTGGCGAACCAGAGCAGCGCACGGAAACGCCTTTTACCTTCCCGCCGGAGCGGTACCTATTTATCTACTTGCACTTTGACATGCTTTCGAACTACTAGGTTGGCAGGAGCAGCGACCAAGCAATGGGAGCTCACCCCGTCGCGGGGATTCGAACTGCCAACCTTTTGATTGGCAAGTCCTAGGCTCTGTGGTTTAACCCACATGCCACTCTAAACCCCCGGCCATCTTAGTAGCTCCTCATATTTTAGCCATTTTGCATATGCTAAGCGTTGAGAAAAGTATTTTCTTTTTCTTTTACAAACACATCCCATGTAAAAGAGAACACATCTCACACTCTTACCGAAATCAGTATCAATGGTGATCATTACATACCCAAACTCACATATATATTGTTATGTCTTTGGGTTCCAGAGTTTGTGGGTGAAAGGGGACCCATAATTTTTGAATTTACTAAAAGATAGAATTAACCAAGCTTTGATTAAACTGTGCCAAATGCTGAACCCTTCGCCCTGGACTTAGTTGATGCTAATAAACCAGACCAGCTAAGCATAGCCCAGGCAACCTAAGGCCCAGGGGCCGGATGCTGCCCAATCTCCTTCTCAATCCAGCCCACAGACAGTCCGGGAATCAGCGTGTTTTTACATGAGTCGAATGTGTGCTTTTATTTACAATCCATCTCTGGGTTATTTGTGGGGCATAGGAATTCATTTATTCCCCCCCCCAAAAAAATATAGTCTGGCCCACCACATGGTCTAAGGGATGGTGGACTGGCCCACAGCTGACCCTTGGCATAGCCACTAAGATGGGCCATTAAAAGGAGACCAAGACTGGCGATGGCCCATCAAGGAAACCATCAGAGGGTGAAGGTTGCCAGGCCAAGAAGGGATAGGGCCCCTTCTCCAGCCGTGTGTTGGTGGGCAAAAACAAGAAGGGTTCGGATTTGAAGTCTGGATGATGTAGCTGGAGGAAACAGTTTTCACTGGGTTAACAGTGAAGGGAAGAAGGCAAGGCCCTCTTAGGCTGTGGCTGCTCTGCACTCCCTCCATCTAGACGAAGATTGTATATATGTGTAAATAAAGCAATATATCATAAGCACACCACAGTCTCTGCTGCACCTCATATGGAAGCTGGGAACCCTGGAATCTCGCACCGCTGTGGAGACGGGGTGGCGTGTAAGAATATCATTTCTCAATATGGCTTTCTCTTAAACTTTGGCTTCGGAATACGAGTGTATGTGTACTAGGGGTGCAAGTACATTTAACCAGGAAGCAACCCCTCCTTAACTGAATGCGAATTCTGCTTAACATTTATTTTTTTGAGACATGGCTTTCCCAGTATGCTTTCCGCCAGATTTATTTTTTTAACCACAGTGGAGATACAGCAGAGGGCGCCATGTAACCTTAAAATCAATACCATTTCACTGTAGACTTGACTCAGACCCTCATAACTGCGAGAGACATTCTGATCTCATTTCATGTAGTAAATCTTCACTGTTTAATATCCAGGGGAAAGGGTAAACTGAAGCTATAGGATACGTTGTGTTTAGAGTCTGTGAACATTTTTAAAAGGTCACTTCCCCAAACCAGCTATTGTAGAATGGGCAATCTAACCCAACCATCTGCATTGCATGAAGCACAGCTAAATCAGTTTGCATGTAGAGAACTCCATAGCTGCAAATTATTTCTTTTCTTTATTTAAAGGAAGTGAAACAAGTGCTCCTTTGCATGTATGTATTTACTTCTTGTGAGAGATTTTACTTTCTTGGGCTCCATGATCACTGCAGATGGTGACAGCAGCCACGAAATTAAAAGACGCCTGCTTCTTGGGAGAAAAGCAATGACAAACATAGACAGCATCTTAAAAAGCAGAGACATCATCTTGCCAACAAAGGTCCGTATAGTTAAGGCTATGGTTTTCCCAGTAGTGATGTATGGAAGTGAGAGCTGGACCATAAAAAAGGCTGATCGCCAAAGAATTGATGCTTTTGAATTATGGTGCTGGAGGAGACTCTTGAGAGTCCCATGGACTGCATAAGATCAAACTGATCCATTCCAAAGGAAATCAGCCCTGAGTGCTCACTGGAAGGACAGATCGTGAAGCTGAGGCTCCAATACTTTGGCCACCTCATGAGAAGACTCCCTGGAAAAGACCCTGATGTTGGGAAAGATGGAGGGCACGAGGAGAAGGGGACGACAGAGGATGAGATGGTTGGACGGTGTTCTCAAAGCTACCAGCATGAGTTTGACTAAACTGTGGGAGGCAGTGGAAGACAGGAGTGCCTGGCGTGCTCTGGTCCATGGGGTCACAAAGAGTCAGACACAACTAAACAACAAATTTACTTCTTCCACTGGCAATAAAAACAAAGACTGCTTGTACGACAACCACAGCTGTATTGAATACGACAAGGACCAAGCACACAGTGCTGCCTTGTCTCAGACTGCCATTTCTGTTCTTAGGTGAAGTGTTACATTTTACCGGGAAGCAGGGCAGAGAACAGATCAGTCACCCTTGGCCTAAAACATCAGATTCCCAGCTTGGGACCTTCCTTTGCTCCACTCCTGTTCTTCATCAGCCTCTTTGGCACCGAACACTTTTCTCCCGTTGTGGCTGGTGTGCCGGTTGTGTCTCCACCACACTCTGATAACATCTTGCTTAGGCTACTGCGTATTGGAGCTGGAAATGCTGGAAGCAGCCTTATATGGAGTCAGGCCACAGAGAATAATAAATGAAAACAATACACCATGTGGCCATTATCTTTATATGTGGCCTGGAACAAGATCCTCAGAAACATTTGCCAGTTATCCGTTCCTTGTCTGCATAGCTGCACCACCTGGGAATGAGCACAAAATAGTGTTTAAACTCATGGCATAGCGGAAAAGACAAATCTCAGGAACACAAGTTGTCTTTTTGTTGGGAAAGCAAGGCACAGTGGAGTCTGCACTGTCTTAGAAATATGATTTTTATTAGGAATTATAGGTTCAGATATTCCAAGGGCGCAGAAAAGACTTTTTATGTATGTGACGGCAGCCGCCCGGATGTTATTAAGCCCAGAGATGGAAAGAAGATAAAGTCCCTTCCAAAGAAGAATGGCAAATTAAATTGTTGGACTATGTCAAAATGGCGAAACTGACCGGAAAGCTCAGGAACCAAGGAGACCAAAACTTTCATAAAGAATGGGAAAAATTTATAATTTATCTCAGAGACTAGTGTAAGCAGATGAAAACAATGGCAGGATTGCAATAACACTTGCAATGTAGAAAGTACTATGGAGATAATGGAGTTATATAAAATATGGATTACTGAAAAAGATGCAGTCGAAAAGGTTGTTGTTGTTGTTGTTTTAAAACACCTTTATTGAAAGTTCGAAAAGTACATAACTATATGTGCGGCAGACATGGTGAGACACAAACAAAAAAGAGAAAAAGAAAATAAAAGTGGGGGGAAACCCAAAACGGTATATCTTACAAGGTTGTTTTTTGTACTTGACCAGATTTTAACCTATTACAGCATTTGTAAGAATGGATTCTAAATATCATTGAATTTGTCCATGGCGAGTCTATGTTTATATGCAAGTTGTTCATTTGTTGCGAAAGATGCAGCAGAAAAGGTTAATAATAGGGCCCACGGACGGGAGGAAGGTGAGAAGTCCAGAGATTAGGAGGAATATTTAAATGTGGATGTATATGGTTGTATTCTTGTAATTTTATACTTGTAAAAATAAAATAAAAATTATTTTTAAAAAAGAAAAGGAAGAAAAGAAATATGAATTTTTCACACATATTTACACCTGGAAGCCTTCAGTGGGTGTGTGTGTGTGTGTGTGTGCGCATAACATTATGCCCCTAGAGTGTGTCTCACTGCCCTGATCAGTGAGTCTGGGTCCAAAATAGCAGCCTGGCCTGGCCCCTGGTCTCTCAGTGCAGCCTCTTCCTGCTGGTGTGGCATGGAGTTCTAACTCATTTCCTCCTCCTTGTTCCCAGAACATCTTGCCAAAACCTCTGGGTAAAAGGGCATCTTTTTTTCTGTGTGACATCAGTCCCACATCCCCCTCAGTTACTGGTAGGGTCTTTTGTCTTGTAGATGGCTTTTGCAATGGGTGAATGGCAGGGGCATATTCTCCCTCTGCCCCTCTGTCTGGCAAGAAAGATGGGAAAGATGGAGGGCACAAGGAGAAGGGGATGACAGAGGACGAGATGGTTGAATAGTGTTCTCGAAGCTACCAGCATGAGTTTGACCAAACTGCGGGAGGCAGTGGAAGACAGGAGTGCCTGGCGTGCTCTGGTCCATGGGGTCACAAAGAGTCGGACACGACTAAACGACTAAACAACAACAACACCTGGTCACCAATTTATGTTAGGCTATACCATTAGACCAGATGCAAATGGTACAATAGCAGACTCATCTCAACACTTGCACTTTAAGGATCAAGGTATAAAAATCGGAGGTTATGAAGTGATGAAGATTTATGAATTCTGAGCTGAGCAAAACTACCATTTTGTTACAGGTTTTGAGCCGTTAAAAAACACAAACTGCCAAAACTTAAAATAGGCTCAGTATAATGGCTAATCCAGGTTACTTTCCAAAGATATCTGGCTTTGAATAGAATCACACATTAGACTTGTAAAGCTGGAGGAAATGTGATTTTGTTTCTTTCAGCCAATGGCCACTTCATCACTTTGTATGGCAGCTCTTCCATGTTGAGAGATGGAAGCTGCCTTTTTCTTCCGACTAAGAGGATTGTTGGTCAGTTGAAGGCAAAGGCAAGCAACCCCACATGCATTTAAGTGTGGAACAGACACAGAGGCCTGATTGTCATAATTCTCAGAATCGGGCCTCTGGGCGGAGTGCTCAACTTGTTTGTGCCCAGTTGGCTTTGTAGGTGTTTAAACTGGCCCATATCATGAGGGGAAACAGAATAGGACCTCACACAACACCACCTCTCCAAGTTAACATGCTTCAGAAACACCGAATCAAAATTTGGAGTGTTGTCAAGTGGTATGAAGATCAATAAAAAGGTAAATACATATTTTATAGATAAAGATCCCTATCCAAAGCAATTTTCTTTTCTCCTGATTGGCTTGGCAAGGTATTGAAGGGATATTGTAAACACGAAAGGGGGGTGGGAATGGATTTATTTCTGCCCAGACTAAAGGAACTACATTTCTGTAGCTGCAATCTGGTATTCATGGTAAGGATGGCCAATTATTGCACATAATCTAAATGATTATGTCTAATAAAGTCCAAATAAAACAAACCATTTCTATTTCTGAGAATCCTTACAAGGCTTTTATTGTCTCACATAACTAACATTTTATATAAGGCTCCTTGGGAATGAATTATTAAAACAACTCTGACCTATTTTCTAATAATGTATGAGATTACAGTCTTGACTAGGGAGGTAGCCGTTACTTATTTTCTTTATCTTTATGTTGTATTAATATTCACCAACTAATTTTCTTGTCTGTTGTACAAACAGGTCCCTGTGTCCTTCACTTTTTGCCGTCATATGCATCATGCTTCCTTTCGCTTTCTGCTTCTCATCCAAAGCCCCCAGCTCCGTACACTTCCCCTAAAAAAAGGTAAAGGACCTCTGACAGTTAAGTCCAGTCACAGACGACTCTGGGGTTGCAGCGCTCATCTCACTTTACAGGCCGAGGGAGCCATCATTTGTCTGCAGACAGTTTTCCTGGGTCATGTGGCCAGCATGACTAAGCCGCTTCTGAGCAGTTCACGGAAACACCGTTTACCTTCCCGCTGGAGCGGTACCTATTTATCTACTTGCACTTTTTGCCGTGCTTTCGAACTGCTAGGTTGGCAGGAGCAGGGACCGAGCAACGGGAGCTCACCCCGTTGTGGGGATTTGAACCGCTGACCTTCTGATCAGCAAGCCCAAGAGGCTCAGTGGTTTAGACCACAGCACCACTCGCGTCTGCTCTACACTTCCCCTATTCAAGCCTAATATAAATTTTGCAATGCAAACATTGCCAGTAATATACACTGGTGATCAACTAGACCTTCCATCATCTACATGGTGGTCCAGTCCGTGACCAGCCTCACCACAGCTAAGCATGGTGGGGCAAGGAACTGATGTGGTAATGGATGCTGCTCTCTGAGCATCTTGGCGCACACCGAAGGCCAAGCGTGAAATCCTTTTGTAGAAGGGCAGAGAGAAAGAATACTGCAATGGAGATATACAGAACAGGGAGCTCACGGGGGCAAATCTAGGGGAAGCTACAGTTCCCGCCTGCATGATCATTCTGATCTTGGGCAACACCCAAGCAAGGTTTGATCATTGTGCCCAGAGAAACAACCTCCACTGATGGGGCGAGTCCTTTCTGTTCTGGCATAACACAGTGGCTAAAACTCAGAAGCTGCCGTTATGTGTCACTCTCACTAGGGTATAAACATGATCATTTGTGCAATGGCTCTCAATTGATAAGACACTTTTTTCTCCCTTTTGTAAAATAATTTTTATTTGGTTTTAAAAAATATAAACCTATAACAAAATCAATTACAAATCCATATGAAGAGATTACTCTGAATCTCAAGACTTCCCCTCATCCCCTCCATGGGTCCTAATTTCAATGCTTACAACTGCATTTCAGTCAGTTACCCACATTTTTTAAAAAAATCCATCTGAATTATCCATAGTCTTTGTTACCTCACAGGTGAGATTAAAATCCTGCTAATGTTTTCATCTCCTGACAATGGTCTCCTAAATAAATTATAAATTTTTCCCCATTATTTTTTTAAGTTCTTGTCCTCTTGGTTCCTAAGCTTTCAAGTTAGTTTTGCCATTTCAACATAGTCCATCAACTTGGTTTGCCATTCTTCTCCGGTCGGGGACACTTATTGTGACTGATTAAGAAGCACTCTTTGTATGTCCCAGAGAGAGGGTCTGCCTTTGTACAGAAATTCCTTTGGAAACAACTGTTTGTAAGAAACGTGTCAGGATCTTTTCGTAAATACTGGGAGCATCAATTTTAGGGTGGGCTTTTGTGTATGCCTAAATTGCTGGTGGCACTGTGGTCTAAACCACTGAGCCTAGGGCTTGCCAATGGGAAGGCCGGAGGTTCGAATCCCTGCAACGGGGCGAGTTCCCATTGCTCGGTCCCTGCTCCTGCCAACCTAGCAGTTTGAAAGCACATCAAAGTGCAAGTAGATAAATAGGTACCGCTCTGGCGGGAAGGTAAACGGTGTTTCTGTGCGCTGCTCTGGTTCGCCAGAAGCGGCTTAGCCACGCTGGCCCCATGACCCGGAAAAACTGTCTGCAGACAAACATCAGCTCCCTCAGTCAGTAAAATGAGATGAGAGCCGCAACCCCAGAGTCGTTTGAGACTGGACTTAACTGTCAGGGGTCCTTTACCTTTACCTTTTAAATTGAGTTGCAGGGGAGCTCACAAAAGAAAAGAAAAAGCCTGAATTTTACATCTACCTGGAAGGTACTTACTTCCAATACCTTGAATTAATCAATGTAGCTTCATAGCTTCCGGTATCTTTATAAATCCATTCCCCTTTTTAATATGTCTTTGTTGCATGTAATCTTTCCTGTGACATTATAACTGTCCCAACTGGCTCTCATTGGGGTTTTTTTATTCTTCTCTGCTTGTTTTCTACAGTGGTACCTCGGGTTAAATACTTAATTCGTTCCAGATTTCTGTTCTCATCCTGAAGCAAAGTTCTTAACCCGAGGTAATATTTCTGGATTGGTGGAGTCTGTAACCTGAAGCATATACAACCTGAAGTGTATGTAACCCGAGGTACCACTGTATTTCTATGCAATTCTCACTTTTAGGTCATTCATTATGCCTCTCCATCTATAACAAACACTTTTTAGCAAAGGTAAACAATGCTTTCCGGCCCTTATTATTGTAATTGCCGGCAGTTGGGTCTCTTTAAACTTCAAGGAGAGCTGTTAAACTCTTCCTCAGTGTCTAACAAATCCAAATCATTATATCTCATCCACACATTCAATTCTTCCAAATATACAGTTTGCAGCTTCCTGCAGCCAATCAGAAGCCGCACTTTGGAAGTCAAACGTTTCGGAAGTCGAATGGACTTCGGGAACGGATTCTGTTTGACTTCCGAGGTACGACTGTACATATCTCTACCATACAAAGCATTTATGAAAATGCTAGTTCATAGGCTCTGGTTTTATCTTCTCATCTACATTTATTTTCCAGGAAGATCCCTCAACAAATTTGCCAAGATAAATGACCATGAACTCCTTCTCAATACAGTATGACCACAATTCAACACAGATCGAAGTATACTTGTCCAATGAAACTGCGTATTCAGTGTACAATACTGTACCCAAATCTCTGAGTGGTCAGAGGTTTCGATAAGTATCAGGGTCATTGGAAACACACAACATTTCTGCAATGCAAACCATACCAAATTCTATTATTGCTTCATCCAATTGTCGACTTACAAAACATTGCAAATTACACAAGACTCATTCCCATTTCCAAAACATACATATCTACATTTCTATACCACAAAGCCTTCTTTGTTTGGCAAAATGAAGCAAATTACTTTTTGCTTGTCTAACACAATTGCCAGCTTTTTATACAACTGATGCAGAGAAGCAAAAGGGGGTTTGTAATGTTTATAACCTAGATAGGAATCTGTCACTTTTTTGGGATAAGACTCCTAGCTATTCATGGGGTCCAGTCTGAAGTAATATATGCCTGAGAAACTGAACTTCTATGGAAAGCATTTGAATAACATTGGATCTGCTTTCCCTGGTGTGACTAAAAAGCATGGGGTTTCTTTAGCAGAGGGTTCAGCCTTCTATCCAGACCCCCTTCTGCTTTTCAGCTGAAATACTGTATATAAATTTTCACTGCAGCGATTCCAGACCACTTTAAGGATTGCTTTTCTGATGCTATCTAGAAGTGGAGAAAACTGAACGGTGTTCACAGTAACATTCACTCCTGGATGTGTCAATCACAAAGAGCAAAGACAGGCTGAAGCATTTAGAGTAGCCAGGAAAAAAAACCCTGCTATCTCTCTGTCGCCCTGAACGCATTCAAACTAGTGATCAAAGATATGACGGACAAAGGCTTCTCCTGTGCGTAGAAATGGACAGATCTGTTCCACCAGTATGAGTTTAATGAACCATTCCAAAATGGTAATAAATCAAAGGGGACCATGTGAAACTGATATTCAGGCATGCAGCTCTTGGAGGGCTCATTGTGAGAACAATTATTGCACGAGAAATAATGTATTTTCTATTTCAGTAGGCTGAATTTATTCCATTTTATTGGATTATGGGCATCTTAGCCCTGTTTAGCCATGCTGCTGACATGCAAAGGCTACATGCAAGTGTCCTGAATTGTGTGGGGAGATCTCCGCCCTCAGGAGGTCAGCCTCCCCTTATAGACCTCCCACTTCAACTAATGGAAGGTGAGGGGCTTGCTTCCTCACCCCCCCTCCTCTTGTTCAGCCGTTTCACATGAGTAGCACACCTGAAAAGGTGGCTTACCCTTGCATAACCTGCTACTGTTTTTGTTGCCCTTCCTCTGATCCTGTTTTGTGTTTGTTACGGAAATTAGGGGGGGGGCACATCTTTAAAGTTGTTAAATGTTACAAATATTATGCATAAATGTACCATATTTTTGCTCCATAAGACACACTTTTTCCTTCCTAAAAAGTAAGGGGAAATGTCTTTGCGTCTTATGGAGCGAATGTGTGGTCCCTGGAGCCGAATTGCCCAGGGGCAAAAAGCAGATCATGCTTTTTTTTTTTTTTTTTGAAAGAGGGAAGTGGGTGTTGAAATAAAGCCGCTGATCGTTTGCCAATCGGGGAGAGAGATAAGGGACGCTAGAGATAAAGGAGGCTGTTGCGTGGGGCCGCAATGGTGCAAAAACGTGGTTACAAAGCACAGATCCACATGGATCCTCAGGATTTTTGCATTGGGCTACTCCAAACTCACTGTCAGATCACATGTCTGTGGCCACAGCATCAACCACAAAAATCATACACCCACTGTTTCATTCAGAATATTTTTTTTCTTGTTTTCCTCCTCTAAAAACTAGGTGTGTCTTATGGTCAGGTGCGTCTTATGGAGCAAAAAATACGGTATCCTTTCGACTTGACAGCTCAGGGAAGTTACCTAGCTTTAAAAATCATATAAAATCAACTCCTTTGCTGTTTCCCTTCATTCCATCGCCAATTTGCTTCATTGGCCAAGGACTTGGAAACCACTTGGTCCCACCATAATCCCTCAAGTGGGAGGTCACTGTACTCACAGGAAGGTACTCATAGGTATCAATCACTGGGCAAAGGCACTCCTCCGGACTTGCCCAGGTGGCAGACTATGCAAACCAAAGTTCCATTCTCCCTTTGTAGTAGGTGCTTAGAATGTACTTCCCAATACATATACTGTATCCCCATGTTGCCCCAACACATTCCTCCTATGTTAATCATGTATAACCCTCCCCTTTTCTGATGTAGCAATGATGTAGTGAACTGTATGCTGGGATAAGGCCTTGTCACCCCATCCTCGGAGTTCAAAATTCCTCTTTGAACCTGTTGCGCAATAAACTTTGGTCTACAGCTATTTGCTCCAGTTGGTGGCTGGACTCCTTCCTTTATTCCGCAGGGACCCGCGGGCTCTGCCCGATGAGCTGGGTGACTGAGCAACCTCGCACCTAGATTTTTCCGTAACTGTGTTTAACTGTATTCTCACATTAATTATAATTATACTTATTTAGACTTGCCAGTGGATGGTTACCCAAAGGTTTCCAAGTGATGAACACATTTGAAAACCTAAATGGCAGCACACTGGTAAAAAACCAATTATCAGTCTATCAAAAGCCTGGGGAAAACAACAGCTAGAATGGTAATATCCAGAATTTGGAAAACCTTGCAATGAATGAATATTGATCAGCAGTATAATGAAGTCTGGCAAACTGCCATAAATGAAAAGCTGTAGCAAAAACTGAAGATGGCAAGGAGAGAGGGGAAAAACCAGATGATTTCTACAAAGTATGGTGTGATTAAATATACAAATGAAACAACATGCGCATGAGAAATAGCTACAACATATATTGCAATAAGGCGTAGATAAGCAGGTAGTACTCACTTGTTCACTTCTATTCCTGTGTTTTCCAAGATGACTTATTGAAGAACTTATTCTATTGGTTTATTGTAATCACCTCATTATGATGCACTGTAAAATAAATGGTTTAGTATTTTTACCTCCCTAGTGACCTGTTTTTTTTTGTTAGTCATGTCATGTTTTATGATTTATATGTGTATGTAAAGGTAAAGGGTAAAGGGTAAAGGGACCCCTGACCATTAGGTCCAGTCGTGACCGACTCTGTGGTTGTGGCGCTCATCTCGCTTTATTGGCCAAGGGACCCGGCGTACAGCTTCCGGGTCATGTGGCCAGCATGACTAAGCCACTTCTGGCGAACCAGAGCAGCGCACAGAAACGCCGTTTACCTTCCCGCCAGAGCGGTACCTATTTATCTACTTGCACTTTGACATGCTTTCGAACTGCTAGGTTGGCAGGAGCAGGGACCGAGCAACGGGAACTCACCCCGTTGCGGGGATTCAAACCACCGACCTTCTGATCAACAAGTCCTAGGCTCTGTGGTTTAACCCACAGTGCCACCCACGTCCCTATATGTGTATGTATATGTGTATTAATTAATTTTTTTTAAAAAAAAAAGCCTGGAGGAAGGTAAGTTTTTACCTGTGCCAAAAAGAATTCAGTGAAAGCAGCAAGTGGACTTCACTGGGGAGAACATTCCACATATGAGGAGCCACAACTGAGAAGGCCCTCTTCCTTTTAACATGCCGGTAAATTGCCGCATTCCTAGAGCACTTTATTCCATTTCCCCAATGTTTCCTTACCTAATAATTTTCATGTTTTATTTGGTCTTTCACACAACGTAAAAGCCAATCCTAGAAATTTAGCAGGATCTAGTAGAATTTTAGTGGCTCATTTCCCCCCAAAAAATCTGTTTGCGAGTTTTGCATTCTACAAGTATAGACTTTTCCTCATGGATAGCTGAACACATGACACATCCAGTCATGGATTATTTAATGGCTGAAGACCTGTGTAAGGATGAATGGCTCCTAAAGACATGTCATGATGGTGCCAGGCGATCCTGTCTGGGGAGAGCTTTCCACAGATGGGCAGCCACAGGATTGGCACTCCAAGAGGGTCTTGCTTCACCCATCGCCACAGCCTTGGATGTGAGGAGAAACCAGGCTTGTCTCTCCCTAACAGGCTCCAGCCTGCTTCTTCCTCCATCTTCTAACTTACACACACAAACACACAACTCAGCTCTGGTCGTTGTCTTTTCTAACTACCAGTGAGTTGAGGGAAGGGTTGGGGGTTATCTGGCTCATATTTAGAGGGTCATTATCACACCAGGGAGCTAGCCTGGCTATTCCAGGAATCAGATTATATCTTAGATTTTATCACTTGCTGCATCCAGGAATTAGAAGGGTCTCGGCCTATGGCCTACTCCCCTCCACATCTCATAACAGTATCTTTCTGGTGAGAAACAGGGAAAGGGTATCTGGTGTGAATTGCAGGTGATTGTATACACCTCTTTCCTCTTCCCACCAGCTGCAGGTTAACTATCTATGAAATCCTTATGAGTCACTCCCTGTCCTGTTCCCCATTCCTCGTGGTAAAATACAAAAAGCAAGTCTTTTATCATTGCCTGCATACAATACAAATTGAGACAGCCTGCCTGCCTTCACAGAAAATGTATATATTTCTTTGTAGGGAAAAAAGCCTTCTCAGCTTTTGATCTCCTGTTCCTGAGAAGTAAGGTTCCGAGCGAGTAACAATGTGTGTTTATATAACTTTGTGTTGCTGAATAGCTCCACTGCCAATGAAAAGGTGCACCTGGTTCTACATGGAATACACACAAGCCTGAAAGGTGCATACAAATTGCCATATGGTCTCTGAGGTCAGAGACAGGTTCTAGGGCTCAGAGAAGGAAGGAAGGGTTCAGCACCAGACCTATGAAGAAGTTTGTCATTGTCTCCTCCTCCTGCTCCCTTCCTCATCTTCTTAGCTGACAATGAATATTTGAGTAGATCTAGTTCTACTCAACTTAGCATTAATAATAATAATAATAATAATAATAATAATAATATTTTATTTATATCCCGCCCTCCCCAGCCGAAGCCGGGCTCAGGGCGGCTAACAACAATAAAATAACACAAAATTCTAAAATCATTTCATTATAAAATTAATTCAAATCAAATTGATGGCAACCATTGGGCTAGAGTTCTGTGAAGATTGCCAAAGGAGGGGGTCAGACTGTGCCTTGGCCAAAGGCCTGGTGGAACAGCTCTGTCTTGCAGGCCCTGTGGAAAGATGTCAAGTCCTGCAGGGCCCTAGTCTCTTGTGACAGAGCGTTCCACCAGATCGGGGCCACAGCCGAAAAAGCCCTGGCTCTGGTTGAGGCCAGCCTAACCTCTCTGTGGCCTGGGACCTCCAAGATGTTTTTGTTTGAAGACTGTAAGTTCCTCTGTGGAACATACCAGGAGAGGCGGTTCCGTAGGTACGAGGGTCCTAGGCCGTATAGGGCTTTAAACGTTAAAACCAGCACCTTAAACCTGATCCTGTACTCCACTGGGAGCCAGTGCAGCTGGTATAGCACTGGGTGAATGTGATCTCGCAGCGAGGACCCCGTAAGGAGTCTCGCTGCAGCATTCTGCACCCGCTGGAGTTTCTGGGTCAGTCTCAAGGGCAGCCCCACGTAGAGCGAGTTACAATAATCCAGTCTGGAGGTGACTAATTGACTAATGGTGTTGATGGGAAGCCATTCGCATTACACCAGTCTTGCAACAGCTGCCCTGCTTACCAATCTGCTTCTGAATTGGAGAATTCAAAGTGTTGGTGATTTCTGTCCAGGGTACCTTGTCCTCTCTAGCCAGAAGGAGGGACCTCCTCAGTGTCCGCTCTAGCGTGGGAGTGTGCTTAAGTGGGACAATAGTGAGAGCCATCTCAGTTGCCACACCTAAATTATGACCACCCTCCTCTTAAAGTAAGGGATGCGGGTGGCGCTGTGGGTTAAACCACAGAGCCTAGGGCTTGCTGATCGGAATCGGAAGGTCGGCGGTTCGAATCCCCGCGACGGGGTGAGCTCCCGTTGCTCTGTCCCTGCTCCTGCCAACCTAGCAGTTCGAAAGCACGTCAAAGTGCAAGTAGATAAATAGGTCCCGCTCCGGTGGAAAGGTAAACGGCGTTTCCGTGTGCTGCTGTGGCTCGCCAGAAGTGGCTTAGTCATGCTGGCCACATGACCCGGAAGCTGTACGCTGGCTCCCTTGGCCTATAGAGCGAGATGAGCGCCAAAACCTCAGAGTTGGTCACGACCGCACCTAATGGCCAGGGGTCCCTTTACCTTTACCTTTAAAAATATACATTTCAAGTGTCAAAAGCCAGCCTAAGGATGTGCGTCATTCACTGGAAGGTGTATCATGAAGATGTCAGGCCCACTGCTGTGGGGAGGTAATTCCACAACTTATAGGCTGCCCCAGAGAATGCCCTCTCCCAGGTTCCTTCTAAGCACCTGAGGATGGTGAAACAGCCAAAAGGACCACTCCACCAATCCTAACACCAAGGAAGATCTGTAGGGAAGGAGGTGATTTGGGGCCTGAGTCATTTAGAACTTCAAATATTAACGTGAGACCCTTAAATTGGGCTCAGAAATGAACCAGCAAACCAATGCAGCTGTCTTAAAGCAGGGGTTACATGAGATTTAAAGGTGTGCACTGCGTTTTGACCCAGCTGCAATTTGTGAGTGGTCTTCAAGGGCAGTTGTCTGTAGAGCACATTGCAATAATCCAATCTGGAAGGTACCAGAGTATGGAGTACAGTGGCCAACTCATTTCCACCCAAAACAGGCCATCGCTGGTGAACCAGCAAGAGCTGGGGAAAAAGGGCATTCCTAGTAACCAAAGTCACCTGAGCCTTCAGGGCCAGTGATCAATCCTGGGAACGGCCACCATCAGTAGACCTGCTCTTTCTAAGGGAGTGCAGCCCCATCCAAGACACATAACATCTCTAACACTCAGGATTTAGCTTCAGTTTCTTGGCCCACATCCGACTCATCACCCATCTCTAAGCAGCAGTCTAACATCGTGACGGATCCCTCCTGATTCAGATGAACAGAAAGACAGAACTGGGAGCTACCTGTATATTGGTGGCACTTCTGACAAGACAGAAGTACTGTTTTTGGGGGACAGGGGGCAGGCGGGTGTGGGGGATTCCCAGGTCCTGAATTGGGGTAACTGTGCCCCTGAAGGACCAGGTGCGCAGCCTGGGAGTCATTTTGGACTCGCAGCTGTCCAGGGAGGCGCAGGTTAATTCTGTGTCCAGGGCAGCTGTCTACCAGCTCCATCTGGTACACAGGCTGAGACCTTACCTGCCCGCGGACTGTCTCACCAGAGTGGTGCATGCTCTAGTTATCTCCCGCTTGGACTACTGCAACGCGCTCTACGTGGGGCTACCTTTGAAGGTGACCCGGAAACTGCAATTAATCCAGAATGCGGCAGCTAGACTGGTGACTGGGAGTGGCTGCCGGGACCACATAACACCGGTTCTGAGAGATCTGCATTGGCTCCCAGTACATTTCCGAGCACAATTCAAAGTGTTGGTGCTGACCTTTAAAGCCCTAAATGGCCTCAGTCCTGTATACCTGAAGGAGCGTCTCCACCCCCATCGTTCAGCCCGGACACTGAGATCCAGCGCTGAGGGCCTTCTGGCGGTTCCCTCATTGCGAGAAGTGAGGTTACAGGGAACCAGGCAGAGGGCCTTCTCGGTAGTGGCGCTCACCCTGTGGAACACCCTCCCTTCAGATGTGAAGAAAATAAGCAGCTATCCTATCTTTAAAAGACATCTGAAGGCAGCCCTGTTCAGGGAAGTTTTTAATATTTAATGCTGTACTGTTTTTAACACTTGGTTGGGAGCCGCCCAGAGTGGCTGGGGAGACTCAGCCAGATGGTTGGGGTATAAATAATAAATTATTATTATTATTATATTCACTCCAAATATCTTGATAGCACATGAGACAAGGTGGAACCCCGAGGGACAGCACAGGATAACTCTGAGGGTGCCAAACAGTAGTCTTCCATAACTACTTCCTGGAAACTGCCTCGGAGGCCAGAGCAGAACCACTGAACCACAGTGCCCGCCATCTTTAAGGTAGCATTTAACCTAACAATCTGAGACTGAATGATATAAGGTTTAACAGATTGCTTCTCAAGAAAACTAATGAATAAGAGGCATTTTAAGCAGACCAAGCGCCCTGCCTACAGACCAAAACCTTATCTAGCTCTGCAGCTGCGGAATAATGAAATAGAAAGGTCTAAAGGGAAAAAAAAATGTTGAGAGAAGATTTCTATCTTCAGTCCAGCTTTGGAAGATGAGCCCTGAAAGGGCCAAGAAAAACACTTGGGCTGCTGTTGTTTTAGCTCAGTGGAAGACTTTAAAGTCTTGGCAGGGAGCCAAGGTAGAATACTAGATGTTTTGGACTGTCTGTCTCTCTCGCTAGCACTGAAACATAGTGAGAAAGGGATAATGTCAATGAAAGGGTGCACACCTTGCGTTCATTTGTCAGTTCTTCATGACTTCTATCATCGTCCAAAAGTGACACCATTAGAAATTCAGCTCAGCAACATATCACTTCATAAGAAGGCTGCTAAAGAAACTTGTGTTCCACAGATGCACCCAAGCGTATATATTTCTGTTTCGGAATTTCTTGAGCAGTTTTGCCTCCGAGAAAACAATTAGAGAGAAGACCATGGCTTTTTCCTTCACTGGGAAAGCTTTGTTGAGCTGAACTGGGGCGGGGCATTCATCAAAGAAATCTTCCTCCTGATAAACTTGCACTTGTGAGCAGCTGTTCAGTCTTCGTTTTTCTTTTATCTAAAAAGTGCCACAATTTATTGTGCCCAAAGTGCGCTTCAAGGCCAACCTGACCAGGTGCCAATTGTGCCATGCCATGTTCCCTATTGATATAGCTGTGCAATACAGGAAATACAAAAAAGGAGTTCATGTATTGTTACAACTGGTCAAATAAAACAGCTTTTTAAAAAACCACTGAGTGACAGGTGTGCTTCCTTAAACCATTTAATATTGACACTGTAGGCTTTTATGGATATAACTGGGGGGTGAATCAGTGAAAGTGGGAACAAATTTTAAGAGGCAGGGCAGCACAAATTTATTTTTTAAAATTATTTTGAATTTAATTTGTTCCTATAGAATGGAATGATTATATATACAAAACAATATTGTTCCCTTCTAATTACATGCTAGATTGCATTTATTAAATTTTAAAATGTCAGCTTCTTCCTAAATCATAGTTATAGTAAGGTATATATAAAGCATAACTGTCACCCCTGTAGAATCATTGGAAGAAATGATTCTTTGAAGGATGGTGTGTTATTCTGAAGCTACCATAGTGGGAAATAATTCACCTTTCAAAATGCTCAGACAGTTACACTTTGTGGCTGTATTGATGTGAAGGTTAATGGAGGGAAAATGAACCTTTAATAAAATATAAAGTAAGCTTACACAATATTTCAGTTCCTGTTTGTAAAAGACATTTGATTTGGCAGATCTCAGAAGCACTAGCTGTGCTGTTTTAAAACGGAGTTAGCTTCACTCACGGAAAGTTTTATTTTTAAAAAGGAACAGAAATATTGTAATATGCACTATGAGTCAATAAAGACATCCTCAGACGACGAACTGGCAGCGGGCGGCATTTTTACCCCGGTAGAAGTTAACCTCTGGGAATTCTAGCTGTGTAACTCAAAATGACATGCCTCCAGCACTTACTTTGTCTTAAAATAAAAAAGAGAAGTTAAGTACCTTTTCTCCTTCCTTGAGCTGCTGTAATCAGAAACAGTCGCCTGCAAAAAATAAATAAAGCATAAAATGATTCATTTCAGAGTACAATCCATACGCTGTTGCATGAAGGAAAACTTCCGCCTCCACAAAAACCTTTAAGAATTCCTGGGAGAAATGGAACGGAAAATGAACTGGAACTAGAAACGTGCAGAAGCTGTTACCACGTTAAGTGACAGTTCTTTCTAACCTGGTCAACCTCACTGTGTTTGAGAAAGGCTTTTTAAATCTTTGAAAATTAGTCTGCAATCCGAACCCTGCTCTTATCTGAGAGTAAGCCCCATTGAATTAAATAGTACTTGCTTCTGAGTAGACATGGTTAGTAGGCTCGCACTGTTAATCACCAAGTGTTAGGGACTGGCTGGATGATGGAAAGCTGTCAACTTACAGATTTGAAAATAAGGGACCAGCAGCCTCGGAAATAAGGGATCAGCAGCCAAAATAAGGGATTTTCCAGGCACAGGTGTGTTCAACTTCTGAGCCCCTCCAAGCCAAAGGCAGAAAGCCCAGCCAGCAGCCAAACGAAGCCTCAAGCGGTGGTTCCCACAGCGCAGCAACCTGGCAAAGGGGATGCAGCAAGGAAAACCACCGTCCCCTCTCCGCTGGGAAGCGCTGAGCAAAGGCGAGTCCCCAGGCAATGCGGCTGATTTGATCGGCACAAGGCATGCAAGCTCCACCCCCCAGTCGTTCTTAGACTCCTTATTGGGTGAGCAACGCAGCCAAGCAACACAGTTGGAGCCTCCCTCCACCCTGGCCGGCAGGCAGGCAGGGAGGGAGAGGAGCTGCTTCCTTTGAAACCCGGGAAATTTAAGGGACATCATCAATAAGGGACAGCAGCGTGACACGGCGCTGGGATAAGGGACTTTCCCGCCAAATAAGGGACGGTTGACAGCTATGATGGAAAGGGGTGAGAGGCTCCAGCTGAGGAACCCCCGAGTGAAGCCACAGAGAATGAAGGCTCAGATCCAGGGGGTGGGGGTGGGACACAGACCAGAGGAGGGAGGAAGACATGGGGTGGGAGAAACTGGGGCTTGAGTGAACAAGAAGAGCCAAAGGCAGAGAGCTCTCCTAGGACAAGACTGGATGCAGATGGACACACTTCGAATTCAGAATCTGAAGGAGAGGACAGAGAAGGGCGAGACACTGAAACAGCTTCACAGCAGTTGCCTGGTCCTTCTGTCTTGAGCTCCCTTCACCCTTTGAGTCAGGTCTCGCAGAGCTAAGCAGGGAGGCATCTCTTCCTCAGAGTGTGTGTCTGCTTGGAAGACACCACCATCATCATCATTTATAATAATGATTTATTATTTATACCCTGCCCATCTGGCTGGGTTTCCTCAGCCACTCCGCACGGCTCCCAATAGAATATGAAAAACATGATAAAACATCAAACATTAAAAACTTCCCTAAACAGGGTTGCCTGCAGATGTCTTCTGTTATGTAATGAAGTTCTCACCCTGGGCCAGCAGGGGGATATTGTAGATAGTTTTCACTCAGGTCCACATATGCAGATAAGGGATTGAAAGTGACGTTCAGTGATTGGATAGTTACAGAAAGTGGTTACTGTTGTGTTCTAGCGGAGCTCTATATAAGCAGGCTGGCTGAACCCTTTCAGTTCAGTTCTGTTCTGGCCTGTGAATAAACAAGAGCTGTTTGAAGAATCGCTGTGTCGTCTGATATGTTCACCCACAACTTAACATCTTCTAAAAGTTATGTAGGTACTCATACTTAACATCTGATGGGAGGGCGTTCCACAGGGCAGGTGCCACTACTGAGAAGGCCCTTCTGCCTGGTTCACTGTAACCTCACTTCTTGCAGTGAGGGAACTGCCAGAAGGCTCTCGGCGCTGGACCTCAGTGTCTGGGCTGAACGATGGGGGTGGAAACGCTCCTTCAGGAAGAGGCGGGGTAGCAGGAAGAGGAGGTTCCAAGAGCCTGTCTTGGTAATGTCTTTATGGAGGCAGCCATGCTTGTGTGATCTCTATTGTGAACTAATCTCCTAAATAAAACATCTAACTTTACTTCAAGTCCCTGAGTCTCCCTTCTAGCCTGTTGAGGAACCTGCTACTTGTGACAGCCCCCTGACACCAAGACACAACTTTCAGACTCAGTAGAGAATCCTATAGCCAAGATATTTTCTATCACTTGCAAATATTGGCCACCATTTATCTGCTTGTACAAGTACTAAAATTCATCATCGGTAACTGCAAAACCAGAGACATTTTATTTGAGCTGATATGACTTTGTTACACATGTAAATGATGCACAAATGCAATCTAACAAAGCATCTTGGGGTGCTTAGGAATGCAAAAACCAAAGACGATTTTGAAAAGTTTATGAATAGTTTATTCATAAACTTACTTAATGTTTGACTGTATTAAATACATTACATATGCATGGCATATTTCTTGGGGGTGGAGGTAAATGTGGATTATTTGTATATGTGTTTTTAGTAACTGAAAAACAAAGAAGGAGTTGTGTCTGCCATTGCAGCCAATACCTGCTCCTTCTCATTTTGTGTGTTGGATTGCAGAGATGTTGTGCAGTCCAAATCACACCTAAGGTTGAGATTTCCTTTTAAGTAAACATAATACTAAAGCTGCAATCCTAAACCCACTTACTTGGAGGTAACCCCTTTTTTAATTCAATGGCACTTACTTCTGAGTAAACACATTTAGGATCCTGTCCTACAAAGACTCCCGTTAGGACCTATATCTAAGTAGACATGGTTAGGATTGTGCTGTAAGGCTACACACGCCATATGCAGCAATTAGGCAATAGTTATTCACTGTGTTGAACAGTAGGACTATATGTGAAAAGGCTTACCTGGAAGTAAGACCCACTGAATTGAGTGGGACTCCTCTGAATAGACATGGTTAGGATTCAGGCAGATGGAGGCTTCACCTCACTTGCATAGGGCCCCTGAGGGGATAAGGCGCAGCTACTTCTAGAACAAAATGGAAAGTTGATTAAAGACTAAAAACCTGTGCAGCAGAGGGCGACCGTGATGATCAGGTGTGTAGAAATCAAGCCTTATGAGGAACAGTTGAAGGAGTTGGGTATGTTTAGCCTGCAAAAGAGGAGACAGAAAGGAGTTATGGTATCCATCTTCAAATATCTTAAGGGCTGTCACATGGAAGAAGGAGCAATTGTTTCCACCTCCTCTGGAGGGTAGGACCCAAACAAATGATTCCCATTACATGACTGGAGATTCCAACTAAACATCAGAAAGAACTTTCTGGTGGCAAGAGCTGTTTGACAGTGAGAACTCCCTCAGGAGGTGGTGGACTCTCCTTCCTTGGAGGTTTTTGAAGCAGGGTCGCTCCCAACTCTACAACTCTATGAAACTATGACCAGCCATTGAGAAACACACCGATTCAATTGTGTCCTGTTATGCAAAATGTTAGAACAATGAAATGGGAATGACCTTTTCAGGGCAAAATTGACAACGTCTTAAATTCCTAGCTAAGTATTTGGTCAATTCTGGGAAGGAATGGCAGAGAATGAAAGTACAGGAAGCAGAAGCCAAGGGAGAAAGTCAGGCAGAGACTTAGTTCCACAGTTTGAGGCAGCTGAAACTTCACCTCACCATCGCTTTTTGTATGTTATGTCTTTTCTTTGATAACTATGAGTGCTAGAAACATGCAGTGTTTTGAACTAACAGAAGCTGGAATTCTAGTGCCATTTGTATAAGCTGCTTCAGAAAGTCTACAATTGCTCCTGGAGAAATAGCTTAAGCTCCAAACTACATTGAGCTACAATGCCCTAATAGTTGGCAGTTTTAAGCACCATTCTCCATTTTGCATTATTCCATCTGTGCCAGACACAGCCTACGGCCAGGCTATTTAAGACTTTTCTGTTGGCTTAAAGCTAAAACAAACCGAGAGAGAGCAGAGTCGAAACTAGTTATGTTGTCTTTCCTTCCTAACTATCTTTCCATCGCAGTTTCTACCAAAGCTATATCCTGCTCTTAAACATAACTTCTAAAATAAAAAGGGTGATCAAGACTAAAAAATTAAAACCCTTGGGGGGAAATGGAAGAAAAACAGAAACAACTTCAAAGGCTTATAAAATCCAAAATCTGGCAATCGACTTGTTTTTCATGGAACGGGGATTCGTATAGTTTTCAGTTCAGAACAGTAATGAATGGACTTTGGTTTCCATCCATGGATTTCTGCCTTGAATTCAACCTTCTCGTGCAGCTCAGATGTGAGTCCACAGTCAAATAGGCTATTACTGAAGAATCTTAGACTACAAAATGCCCCTTCTTCAGCTGGAAGGAATTTGAGTAGTAATCATGCAATGAAATGCAAAGGCAAAAATGTCTATTCATAGGCTAAATGGGTATCGCAGGTATAGCTATGATGCAGTCATTATCCGAAACAATTAATGCTCAGTATCAGCATTACATTCTCTTATTCTCCCCTCTTATTCTCTCTCAGGTGCTTCATATTCTTACAATATTTGAAGAGTTCAATGGGAGCCCGTGTGATATATCAGCTAGGGTGCTGGACTTGCATGGATGAAAACTGGGGAACGGCAGGGGCTGAGCTATGAAGATCACTGGATAATCTCAGGCTAGTAACTCTCATAGTCTGGCCTACTTCACAGGTCTTTTGTAAGAGTATCATAGAACAACCCCACATACGCTGCTCTGAGTTCCCAAGCTACAAATGTGTGTGTGTGTTTGCGGGGGGAATCACAATCAAATAAAAATACCAAAGGAAAAAATAAAATGTCGTTTCTAGACCTGGTAGATTTGGGGTGTTAAGTTGTGGGTGAACATATCAGACGACACAGCGATTCTTCAAACAGCTCTTGTTTATTCACAGGCCAGAACAGAACAGAACTGAAAGGGTTCAGCCAGCCTGCTTATATAGAGCTCCACTAGAACGCAACAGTAACCATTTTCTTTAACTATCCAATCACTGAACATCACTTTCAATCCCTTATTTGCATATGTGGACCTGAGTGAAAACTATCTACAGTATCCCCCTGCTGGACCAGGGTGAGAACTTCAGTACATAACATGGGGGACAGGGGTCTCCTTACCGAATGATCCCCTTTGTGCATAAGGATCTCACCTATCTCCCCCGAATAAGAAGAATTGCAGCAGATTGCCACCAGACACGATGAGCCCTGTGTGCTCTGTCTCTTGGGGTTTTTGAACCCTATTACGTAGCTCCCCTCACTTCCGCCCAACATATATAAAAACATGGAAAAAAAACCATGAAACATTAGAACACTTCCCTAGACAGATGTCTTCTAAGGGTTGTATAGTTCCTTTTCTCCTTGGCTCAGGGGTCACATAACTTCATACCCTCCCGAACATTTCTGCAATGAAAACAGGGGCGTCCTAAGGAAAAGCAGGACATTTAGGGATCAAATCAGAAACCGGGATGGATTCTGCAAATCCGAGACTGTCCCTGGAAAACAGGGACACTTGGAGGGTCTGTGATCTTTGGTGGCATATAAATCATCACCATATTATTAACAGCAATGCATTATTATTATTATTAATATTATTATTATTATTATTAACAATATTAGTACCCATGCAGTCTAATTCTCTGGAAGGACCCATATAGGCTGGATCTACACATCAAAAATGTGTTGTAACCCTCATAGTGGGAAATCACGTTGGCGAAAGATGGGACTCCACATCTCCATTATAACAGTGTTATAACGCGTATAAAACACTTTTCCTTTACTAATGTAGAAGAGTCCACAATTTCCATTTAAAACCAATTGCCTTCCACTCTGCATGCAAGAGGAAAGCCCCAACTGACAGCCTTATTATTATTTATCATCACAATAAGCAAGTGAGTTTGACAGTTGTGGAAGGAAAAGGCAAGTACGCCCCATGCCCTTTATATGTTAAAGCATCCACTGTTGAAATAAAAAAGGTGTTTAAATATACCTTTCCGAAGAAACCAGAGGCCTTTCTTCTGGGCATTGTCGGCCAATTGGTGCCAAAGAAGGACAGAACCGTTTTTATGTATGCTACAACAGCAGCAAGAATACTCATCGCAAAGTATTGGAAGACACAAGATCTACCCACTCTGGAAGAATGGCAGATGAAGGTGATTGACTACATGGAACTGGCGGAAATGACTGGCAGAATCCGAGACCAGGGAGAAGAGTCGGTGAAAGAAGACTGGAAGAAATTTAAAGACTATTTACAGAAATATTGTAAAATTAAGGAATCTTAGAAGGATGTTGGATAGAAACTAAGAGGTTTTTAGCTGTAATGCTTTAAGAGATATGAAAAAGGTTTACAATTGGGTAAAAGCTTAATGGTAAGGATTTGCTGAACTAACAAACTGAACTGGAATACAAAAAGGGAGGTACGAGGAGGTCCGGGAAATAAGTGTAGGGAAGATAGGTGATGGAAAATTAATGTCTTTTTAACTGTTTTATTTTGTATGTTTCTTTTTATTCTTTACTTTTTTGTTATATTTTAAAAACTTTATTCTTTTTTCTGTATTCTGTATTTCTTGTATTTTTTGAAACTTTAATAAATATCTAAAGCATCCACTGAAACCGTAACAAGGACACAGCAAACCAGGAACTCAGGCTCTGGGGCCGAATCCTGCATACATGTTCAGTTAGGGAACTGAATGCCAGGCAAGAAGCCTGCAGTGTAGATCTAACTAGCGGAAGCGTCACTTTAAAACAAAAAATAGTCTAGACGTTGCTTTCCGTTCCAACACGGTGTATGCCTCAGTGCTGGATTATAAAAAGCAGCATTCAGATATAGGGCAGGTCTAGGTCTAGGCCTCGGTCCTGGTTAAAAAAGTTCAGTTTTAAAAACAATTAAAACTAGCTCAGCTTTTTTTTAAAAAAAAAAAAAATCCACTGTTGTGGGTGGTGTTGTTTTTTTACTGCTTTGAGGCTATTTTGGTATAAATTTTATGAAACAAAACGTATAAGTTGTAACACAAAACTTGAGGTAATTCACACTTTTTTAAAAAAAGCCTCAGTTCAAGCTCAGTGTAAGTTTGGGTTTGTTAAGCAAAGCAAATAAACTAAAGGGCAAAGACAGGCTTCGGTCCACTTCAGAAGGTCAACTTTTGGTTCAAGTTTTATTTTATTTATTTTTTTATTTTAAAAAAACCTTCCACTGGGAGTGAGGCCCTTGTGTTACCAGAATGCCACAACTTCCCACATATGGTCCTTAATCCCACTTAATTGTCTTCTCTCCTGGCAAAAATCCGCATCCTTGGGGGCTAAACTGACTGAAATCACACACACACACCCCACACCATATAGATTTCTAAGGACAATAATTTGGTAGAGCCCAAATGCCTCCTTCAAGTTTTTATTTTATTTTTTTAATGATATTTATTAAAATTTTCAAAGGATACAAAAATTACACAAAAACAAAGAGTAAAAGTACAAAAAATAAAAATACAAAAAAAAGAAAATACAGAAAAAAGAATAAAGAAAAAACAAAACAAGTTCATTATTTTCAGACCCTTAACTGTCATTGCCTTCTTTCTTAGACCTCCTCCTCCTCCCTTCCTTTGTATTCTAATTATTAATTATCCCAGCAAATCCTTTCCTTTCCATGTTTCATAAAATTCTATCATTACATTACCCTCGACTAATTTAATCCTATCTTTCTATAATAAAATAAACCTTAAAGTTTAAAACTTAAGTCTTAACCTTACCAGCTTCTTGTGATCATAATATTCTTTCATAATTCTTTATGCATCTTTACTAAAGCCAGGTAATTTCTTCCAACATTTTTCTATCATTCATCAACTTTGTAAAACATTCTAATAATAAAAAAAAGAGAAAGAGAGATATAAACAAGTCCAATCTTTATCCAACGTCCCTTTCTCCTGGTTCCGGGATTTGTCAGTCCTTATTAACCAGGTAACCTTATGTCCGAAGCCCTCAAGTCACTTCCATAGCCCTTCCGCAGCTCTTCTTCATACTTATAACTGTAATTTCCCTTATCTCCTACTCGTGATAACTCCAGCTTGACAATGTCTCTTACTCGTGGTAACTCCAGCTTAGTAATGTTTTTAACCCTTCTCGTCAGATCAGACCCTTTTCCACCTCCTTCAAGTTTTTAAAAGTGAGGTTCCGACAATCTACTTAGCTGCAACAACATGGATATAAATTTAGGGCAGCTTTGAAAGGGGAACGGCTGCTCTCTGTTCCACAGGAAGTTCCTCAGCCCTGTGGGCAAATTATCAGGGTTGCAAATGAATTATCAGCTGTGGAAGTTCAGCGTCAGGGTGAAGCCAGGGGCAGCTGGCGGCATTTTGACTTGTGCATTTTAATCTCGCTGTTTCCCCCACAATAGAACTTGTGGAGCATTTATTTCAGGAAATGCAATGGTTGATGGGGAGAGAGAAAACTTCTCTTTGTCTGACCAAGTTTGCCCGTTGCTTTAATTTAGAGAAAGAAGCATTCTCATTCTTATTCTTATTTATTAAATTTGTATATTGCCCTCCACCCGAAGAACTTAGGGCAGTTCAAAATAGAAATAGTGAAAAGCCAAAGCCGTTTTTATTTTTTTATTGCTGTGGAGGGAAAAGGAAAACTGTGTTTAACTGGAAACAGGTGTTCCGTCCATTTTTAACGTTTGTGTGTGTTTGTTTAGTTTTACTTTTTCTCCCCAATGGATGTGTAGGTGTATTTAATATATGAATTAAAAAATGTATGTCACATGTAATTTCTAAGTGAGAAAATGGAGTCAACTATGTCAGCAAATCATAAAGGTAAAGGGACCCCTGACCATTAGGTCCAGTCATGACCGACTCTGGGGTTGCGGCGCTCATCTCGCTTTATTGGCCAAGGGAGCCGGCATACAGCTTCCAAGTCATGTGGCCAGCATAACTAAGCTGCTTCTGGCGAACCAGAGCAGAGCACGGAAACGCCGTTTACCTTCCCGCCGGAGTGGTACCTATTTATCTACTTGCACTTTGACGTGTTTTCGAACGGCTAGGTTGGCAGGAGCAGGGACAGAGCAACGGGAGCTCACCCCGTCGCGGGGATTCGAACCACCAACCTTCTGATTGGCAAGTCCTAGGCTCTGTGGTTTAACCCACAGCACCACCCGCGTCCCTGCAAATCATACTTGGACCCTATTCCCTGCAAACTCTTACCCAGTGCTTTTTTTGCTAGAAAAATAGGTCCCGCACTCACCATGAAGTTGTTACAGTAAGCGCCACACTTTTTAACAACAAACAAAGAGGTGCTGGTACCTTTGAGCATCCCCTGGGGAAAAAAGCACTGTTTTTACCATGGGTAGGCAATCTAAGGCCCAGGGGCCGGATGCGGCCCAATAGCCTTCTCAATCCGGCCCATGGACGGTCCGGGAATCAGTGTGTTTTTACATGAGTAGAATGTGTCCTTTTATTTACAATGCATCTCAGCGTTGTTTGTGGGGCATAGGAATTCATTCATTATTATTTTCCCCCAAAATATAGTCCGGCCCCCCACAAGGTCTGAGGGACAGCGGAGCGGCCCCCTGCGGGAAAAGTGTGCTGACCCCTGGACTTTTTACCCTATCCACAGATAGGTAGAGAATAATTGGGTGACCCCCCCTCCGTGTGGAGACAATGAGATTCTGTACATATGTAATGAATGACACACTTTCCTAAACAATTGCTTCCTCATCTCTCTGACATGCACTCACACCCCCCCCATTTCTCCCTCTATTGCGCATGTGTGTGCACAGACATTATGTTGAGCAAGTTGACAACACCAATGCTCTGTACTAAGACATGCCGGGGGGGGGCATCAGGAAATAAGAGGCAAGCCCACTTTAGACTCATGGTTATCCCAGTAGTGATATATGGAAGTGAGAGCTGGACCATAAAGAAGGCTGATTTCCAAAGAATTGATGCTTTTGAATTCTGGTGCTGGAGGAGACTCTTGAGAGTCCCATGGACTGCAAGAAGATCAAACCTCTCCATTCTTAAGGAAATCAGCCCTGAGTGCTCACTGGAAGGACAGATCCTGAAGCTGAGGCTCCAATATTTGACCACCTCATGAGAAGAGAAGACTCCCTGGAAAAGACCCTGATGTTGGGAAAGATGGAGGGCACAAGGAGAAGGGGACGACAGAGGACAAGATGGTTGGACAGTGTTCTCGAAGCTACCAGCATGAGTTTGACCAAACTGCGGGAGGCAGTGGAAGACAGGAGTGCCTGGCGTGCTCTGGTCCATGGGGTCACGGAGAGTCGGACATGACTAAACGACTAAACAACAACAACAGCCATATGGACCAGACGAGTGGACTGTTGTCCAACTGTCCATGTGCAATTTCAAGTCCACACTTCAGACGTTCAGCCGCCACCATGTGCGTACAGTGGCGGACCAGAGTCATGACAGCAGGGCTTATTCCGTGAGAAAACTTGGAGACTGCTTGCTCAACAAAACCAAAATACCTCACCCTCCAATGGTAGAGTGTTGTTGCAGATGTATGAGTGATGGAATACCCCAAAAAAGTTACATATATAGTGCATTGCCTCTGGCATGCACACACACTAACACCAGTTTCTGTCAACCTGGATGGGGAAAACCAGCTTTGGAGTGGGGTCGATGCAGCAGGCTGGAGGAACTCTAACCATCATTTTCTTGTGATCCACTTGCGTTTAGACGATGGTCCTGTATGAACACTTTACCTGCAACTTTGCCTCTTTCAGTGTTGACAAACTATTCTAATTAGCAGAATCTTATTTTAAATGAAATCTTTATTAGAACAGTGTTCCAGATGGAGCTTTATAAGCCATGGAAATGTTTATTGAGTACACTCAAATATTTAATATGAACACTGACTCATCCACAGAAGAACTGAGTCACACTGTGCGTTTTATAAATCAAGATGTTGTTAATAAATAGGTGACTTAATTTGCAGCAGTTGAGCAGAATGCTGGGGTCTGATCCTGGCAACAGTCGGTTGCTTACTGGAAAGTGCTGGGAAACTTTTCAGCAGAATATAAAGGGCACATTCCCTCAGGGTGCAGTGATGGCCAAGGTGGAAAATTCAGCTGGCAACACCCGTTTTTACTAATTAATACGGACAATAATCCACTGGAAAATTCTGCGCAAGGTTCATTGAAATGAATGAGATATTTTACATGGTTTTCATTAAGTTCAGGGAAGAGTGTTTAGGACAAGTTCCCAGTGGATTGCGCCTCATGGGTCCAATCTGTGCATCTTCCTTGTGCTAGCCTTGATGTTGTGATACCTCTGCTAAAACAAAGAGAGGATCACCAATTGTGCAAAAGAAAACAGGCAAAGTATTTATGAGTATACAACCAATATGTGAAATGAACACACACACGAGTGACAGCCACAATACACACCCAGCCAGCCAGCCAGCCACACAACCATAATCCAATTGTGACATTTTCAAAAAAGAAAATTATTCAAATAATAGACAAATACTGTAATGTGACTTGAGGTCTTATATAGGGTGGTGGAAATCAGCTGTCAACCTATAATAAGGTGTAATTAAAAAAATGGCTATTACTCTTGAGTAGAACAATTGCCAAGAATCCTGTATCATAGAATCATAGAGTTGGAAGAGACAACGATGATAATCTAAGTCCACCCCCCTGCTATGCAGGAATCTTTTGCCTAATGTGGGGCGTGAACCCACAACCCTGAAATTAAGAGTCTCATGCTGTACTGAATGAGCTATCCCAGCTGTTATACAATTCTTTAATTCTTCGACTTAATGTCCTCCAATGCAGGAATTTCAGCTAGAGCATTATTGACAGATGGCCATCTAACTTCTGCTTTAAAATCTCCGGTGAAGGAGACTCTACCACCTTCCAAGGGAGCCCATTCCACTGTTAAACAGCTCTTGACAAGCTTGATCCATCTTCCATGTGACAGCCCTTTATAGCTTTGCCGATCCGGGCATTGAAGTCACCTCCCAAGATAAACCGAGGGTTAGGTGACAGAGAGTCTATACTTTCGAGTAGTTGGTCAAGTTTATCCCAATATGATCTCAGTTCCCCACAAGACTTTACTGGAGGTATATACACACATATGCAATAAGTATTTCTCAGGAGACTATCAGAAAGGGACAACACTAAAAAAATTAGGGGTGGTCAACGAGGGACACTGTTGAATTGATACATTAAGAGAGGTTGACACCAGCACCGCCAGCCCCCCACTAGGCCTTCCATACTTTACAGTTTTAAGAGCTGGTTGAGTGTAACTTGTAAAACCCTGTAATTCAACCATAGTGCCCTCTTTTGCCCAGGTTTCTTGAAGAAAGATGATATCATGTGTTTGTAGATAAGAACAGAAATCACTGTCTTGGATCTTGTTCGTCCACCCTGTTACATTCCATGAGAGAAGTTTAATTGTTTTACAATGATTTACTCTTAGTCAATTGTTGGCTGATGTGCTCTTGGAGTTTACCAGTTTTTGAGGCGACAGGTTATTGCTAATGCTAGTGGAATAATCCAGATGTTTGATTATTTCAGTCGTCGTACATAAAGTGCTCACATTTGTAATCACTGGGCCTTTTCTTTGCAAATTGTTTGCCAATGGGGATTTCTTGGGTGTATTTCCTGACTCCTCCTCTTCTAAATATCTCATCTTTGTCCAATACTCCGGTGGTTCTATAGTTATCATTCTGTTGTGGCCATTGGATCTGTTATCAATCTCTGCCTCCAGTTCTTTAATCTCTTTCAATGTCTGGCTCATAAGATCAAGCCTCTTGATAACTGTTTGTTGCTCTTCCTGAGGGAGATTCCTAAAGGAGCTGAGAAAATCCTCTTCCAAAGGATTTACAGAGTGCTCAGATTCCTGAAGATGATTGTCTAGAGGGATCGGCTGTTCCTTTTGGTTCACCTGGTTATTTTGATGTTGGGCATGATCCTGCGGATTCAACTCAGGCATGTCTGTTTCCTCCCCACCTGCCAAGTTTTTTTATAGCTTTGCAGCATCCTGCACTTTTTTCCAAGATGATGAGAAACCATTCATGAGCATTTCAGCTAAAAATCCACCTAACAGTTACCTTGTCAAAAGCCTTACTGAAATCAAGATCCACTACCCCATCAAACTTGAATTTGGTTGGCATGATTTGTTTTTGAGAAACTCATGCTGGGTCTTCATAATCACAACATCCTTTTCTAAGTGTCTGGTGCCTTCATTATACACCTTTGGGCTCCAGACAAAAAAATGTTCCTTTTTAACCAGGCCTTTGGTTGACCTGATCAACATCATATACCCTTTAAAATGTGGCTCTTTGGGGAGCGGAGATGTCATTGATTATTGTTTTTATTTTTATTTTATATATTGTGATCTTTTTGTGAACCACCCTGAGACCTCCGGGTATAGGGCGGAATATAAATTCAATAAATGAATGAAACCAACCATTTATTATCTGTTCTAGGACCTTTCCTGGTATTGACGTCAAGCTAACAAGTCAGTAGCTACCTAGATCTTATTTTCCCCCCTTTATGAAGATGGGGACAACAGATGCCTGCCTCTGGTCTGCAGGGACCTCACTTGTTCTCCAATAATTCTCAAATTTCCCACTTTAGATAATATGGATAGAATGGTTTTTTTTTCTTCAGTCTCAAATGTGATCTTTCAGCCTTAACATTTATTGGGGGCAGGGATGTTATTTCAAGACTGGATTACTGCAATGCTAAGTACACTTCGTCACAACTTTGGCGGGTATGGCCTTGGGTGGAATCCTTTAGTCTTTTCTTCCCTATATGGCGGGGGGGGGGCGTGAAGTGGTGACTCACGCCTGGTCACGAATGCTCTCTAAGTGCACTTGATCCAGAAACTGCAGACAGGGAGAACTAGGAATCGACCCGAAGAAAAATACCAAAAGGACTGGAGCAAATTTATTTATTATTTGAAAGAAAATTGTACTTATATGAAAACGTTTGTAGCATTAACGTGATATGTTTTGTAATGAGGAATTAAGATGCTGATTTATAAACAAGAATGTGATTTCTTAAGGCTAATATATGATAAAGAAGTGATGATGAGAATGCGATAGATATGTTAAATGTTATAGGGATGTCAGAAAGAGAGATGGAAGGAAGTCAAAGCTCATTTTGAGCAAATAATATAAGTTGTGAATATGTGTATGGAATTAAGATGAAATACAGAAAAAATCAATAAAAATTATGTTAAAAAACAACAACAGAAACGGTAGTTAGTGCTGAATGTTAGTGCATGATTGCTGACTGGGGTGAGATCTTGTCAGCATATAACACCTGTGTTTAGAGATCTGCAATGCTTGCCAATTCGCTGTCAGGCCAAGTTCAAGGTGTTACTATTAGTATATAAAGCCCTTAACAAATTGGGACCAGTTTACCTGTGATATTGCCTTACCCCAGATATGCCCACTCTACTGCTTCAATCTATGAAACTGGCACTATTACAGATGCCACATAATACCCGATCCGCATTTGTAAGAAATTAGTCTTTTAGCGTCGTAGCACCTATTGAAATCAGATAGCCATTTTCACTGATCTCTTTTCAGCGCTTGCTAAAAGCATTTTTGTTCAGACAAACCTGCCCAGATATGTAGAACGTTGATATGTGTTTTGATCTGGTTTTAGTTTATTGCTGCTTTTTATGTTTTAAAAATTGTTTTTACTTTTTAAAAAATCAACTTTGTGGCAGGTTTTGAACCTATGATACAGTGGTGCCCCGCAAGACGAATGCCTCGCAAGACGAAAAACTCGCTAGACGAAAGAGTTTTCCATTTTTTGAGTCGTTCCACAAGACGAATTTCCCTATGGGCTTGCTTCGCAAGACGAAACGTCTTGCGAGTTCTTGCGAGTTTGTTTCCTTTTTCTTAAAGCCGCTAAGCCGTTAATAGCCGCTAAGCCGCTAAGCCGTTAATAGCCGCTAAGCCGCTAATAGCCGTGCTTCGCAAGACGAAAAAACCGCAAGACGAAGAGACTCGCGGAACGGATTAATTTTGTCTTGCGAGGCACCACTGTACACTAAAAACCAAAGCTAATATCTAAAGAGGGCAAAATAATCAAAAGGGAAAGAAAAGAGAGAGGCAAAACAAAGAAGAAGAAAAAAAACAGAGACACAAAGCTCTACATTCTATCAACCTTCTATCTTAATCTTCATTTCACAGACACAAATCAACGTCTTCCCAGCTCCCACCTGGGACAGCTCCCATTTTTCTCAGCCTCACACCCTGAGAAAAACCACTTTGTCTCTCACACAGATCTCTTCTATCAATCTTCTCTCTCTGTCTCTTCATATCATACGATTCATATCATACTTATAAATAACATTAATACAAAACTATCAAAAAGTAAACAAGAAGCAAAAAAACAAAAAAGATGAAAGAGAAAGAAGAGGTCCTTCTACTCTTCTATCTGCCAATTATATATAATACAGTTATATTTGGCAAATTGCTTTTACTGATAATTTTATAGTTTTATTCTCTTCGTAAACCACCTTGACATTTCTTTAATGATCAAGCAGCATATGAGATTTATGGAATAAATAAAATAAAACCACTCTCAGTTCCAGCCTTAGCTGTGGCCTTGTTAGGAAATGTGTAATATCCTTTCCTTTTATCTTCTGAAATTTGACGTCTCCGAAATAGTGGTGCCATTTGAGATGATGCAACCTTCCTAAAACACCTGCTAGCGAGCGCATCAAATCTTTTCTTGTCGGCTTGCGTAATGCTCCAGGTCTTTGCAGCACCAGGGAGGAGCTGACACCACACAGCTGTTACGAGAATCCCATCTTTTCGTTTTGCGAACATGTCGCTACCTCACACTCTTCCCTTCGATTCATCCGCATTGCTCTTCAACCTTGGCCCGCCATGCCCTTGATGTCATCACACTAAGTAAAAGAAAACCAGCCCCAAACTTCTACTGGAGAAATGGGAGAAAAATGCTATTCAATTCACATTTGAAGACAAACCTACCAAATTTACACTTAGCTCAGTTGGTTAGAGCCTGGTGCTGATAACCCCAAGGCTGCAGGTTCGATTCCCATATGGGGGACTAAATGATTCTCAGGGTCCCTTGCAACTCCGCAATTCTATGAAGCGAAATAAAATTCTGTCTCCATTAAACTTCCCAGTATGTGAACTGAAATACAGCCATCGTTTGAAATTTGCACTTTTCAGAATCTCGTAATTCAGGTCAGCAACTAAGTAATGTACAGAAATAAATAGGGCCAGGTAAAGGGTGCATAAAAATGCATAGATTAGTGGAAATTACAAGCAAACATGGAAGATATAGGGGGGAAGAGGAATCAGAAGAATCTTTATTTGCATCAACCACTAGCCATAGCAATAAAATAAAATAAAATAAAATAAAATAAAATAAAATAAAATAAATAAATAAGATAGATGTAAAAACTTAACTATAGAAAATACACTTTGGGGGTTTACATCAATCATCAAATAATAGATCTTATTCTAACGTTGATCTTAATTCTAATGTTATTCTTATAGATCTTATTCTAATGTTGAGAAGTTTTCATGAGGATTCTTTTAAAAATGTATTGCAAATTGCTGCAGAAATGTAGAGAAGAGAATTTAAGATTGGGGGAAAATGAGAAAGTGGGAGAACCGAGACAGGCAGACCCAAGGACTCCTACAAGATATTCACCAGAAACTCGTATAATGATGGGACAGAGTATGAAAATAAAGTGAGAAATGTCTGGAGGAGATAGACAAAGGGATCG